AAAGGAGGCTTAATTCTTCCCCTTGGAGAACTCAGAGACAGACGTCAACTGTGGAGAGAGTGGGGGATTTGATGGCGAAGACAGGATGCTTCCCAGCACAAGTAACTTCTAAGCAGAAGCCTGAAAGGAGCAGAGGTTATCCCCATGAGGAGGGAGAAAAGAAATGTGCAAAACTATGAGGGTAGTGTAGCAAAGAGTAGTGACTAGTGACAGATTTTCTGTAGCTGGCTTACCATGGTGAAATCTGCTCTGAGGGATGACCTTTTTGGTTAAGAGCCTGGTTAAGTGGCTGTTGGGGAAATTAAAATGGCAGCTGGGCTGGCGGAATCTGGGGAAGTGGCACCTGAGACCAAGAGAAACCACGAGCAGGCAGTGGAGGTGACTCTGCTGACTGTTCAGAAGCTTGCCTTGAGGTGCACGGGGTTGAGTGCAGGTTGAGGCAGCCAGTTGTCAGGGTCCAGAACTCAGAAGAGAGAGACCCGAGTTGGAAACAGTTTGGGGAGGTTTCTTTGTATTGTTTTCACCACTCAACCAAAAGACAGCATGAAAGCGTTTGTTTTGTTCAGTTCTGAGCAAACATGTTGGTTAGAACTACAAAGCTCACTTGACATGGGTCCATGTACACGTGAGTAAATAAGGTTTGGCCCCAGATAGCAATTACTACTGGCACCTATTTCTTTCATCTCGTGAGACACAATGTAATTGTAAACATCAATCTAGATACCACAGACTTAGCAAAAAAAAAAAAAAAAAAAAAAAAAAAAAAGTTTACTTTTTCCCTGTGGGGAAGAACCTGAGTTATTTTCCCTTTGTCTCTGTTGGCTGGCTTGCCAGGCCTCCTCATCAACTACTTTTGTAAGAAACAGACGTGATCCTATCTGTGCTGTTCGTGACAAAAGTATCCCCAACCCTGAAAAGCGTGTTAATTTTTTTTAAGATAAATTTTTCACGAGCATGTTATTGTTTGGTGAGCTAAAATAGACTCTTCTGTGATCTTCAATACCTTCATCTGTGCCCTTTTATTTAAAAACATAACACCACAAAGGATACGGAGAATGGTTTCACTTCCTTTATAAATTTCACACTATTTCACTAGACCAATTTAAAACCTCCCTTGCACTGCTCACACACTATTTGGATAATAACTTACCTTTCACTGGAGAGGGAATAAATATGTATTCTGGAGGGTCACCTGTGGGTGCTGGACTGATGGGGAATAATTGTTTTATATTTTGGCGCGTGGGCTGTCGGATATGTGGCTTTATTTGATTATTCTCTCATTCCAGGTAATAATGTCAGCCACTCACTGTTTTTTCCATTAAGACTATGACCTACTCAGCACAGTGTCTATTTAAGATCTGATTACAGAATACATAGGCTTTTCTATAGTACGTGTAGACATAACGTGGGCCTTTACCAAACTAATAGACAAAGATCTGCAGTTAACCTTTTTTTTTAAGTTTATTTATTTTTAAGAGAAACAGAGACAGTGTGAACAGGGGAGGGGCAGAGAGAGAGAGAGAGAGAGAGAGAGAGAGAGAGAGAATCTCAAGCAGGCTCTGCACTGTCAGCACTGAGCCCGATGTGGGGCTTGAACTCATGAAACCATGAGGTCATGACCTGAGCCGAAACCAAGAGTTGGATGCTTAATCAACTGAGCCACCCAAGTGCCCCCTTGCAGTTAACTTTTGAGGGAAACCAAGCTCCTAGAAATAAAACATGCAAACAAAACATGCCAAAGATAAGGGAGTTAAAATCTTACTTATAAATGATAGTAATTTTCCAGGACAAGCACTTCTTCTGGATTTTGCGTAGGTATCCTTCAGCTGTTGACAACCTTCATTTGTTGATTCTTTGCATCCTTTTTCTTGCTTATTATCTATGCATTAAAATGTTCCAGGAACATCTTGCCATTTATCTTGAGTGATTATAACTCAACTCACTGCTTGAAGGATTTTTTAACTCCTTTATTAGTATATGAGATTCGGTCCAAATGGTAACAGTTATAAACAATATTTAAATTGTAGAAGTTTTTTACAAGGTATTGAGAACTTGAAATAGCAATAACAATTATTCTTTTCAGTTCTCATCCAACTACAGTGAAAAGGTAGAGAGGTAGTAATGTCTAGCCACTCATTTTTATTCATATCCTAAGAAACTAAGCAGTTCACAAGAGTTTTTTCTTATAAAAACTATTGAATGTGTTATAAGCTTATTGTATTAATCACTTTATACTTTAACTGCAATGATTACAATTGATTAATAGATCCGTTTTCCAATTATCATCAGTGAAGCACAGAGAGGGAAAGAAATCACATAAATAAATCTACTGATTTTCACAAAACTAATTTTAAGGAAATAAATACCTTTTCTAATGCCTTCTGTTGGCTACTGTAGTAAAATTGTGAGATTTAAGGTTAAAACCTTTTTCCATTTGCCCAATTTCTTCCTGCTGGAAGGAACACTGTACTGTACGATAAGCAATTGTGATAATATGGTTTGTACCGTTCACATAAATCATATTATTTATTGCTTGTTGCATGGACCAGGACCTCCCATCCCTTCTCTTCTCTGCCTCTCTGCCACACACACACCACACACACATGCCTGTAAAACATATGTGTCAGACATGTGATTCGTTTTCTAATAGGGTAACTGTTATCATTAATCTTCACTCTGATCGACAAGTTGGATAATTTTCAGAGTGCTACATAGGACTCATTCAGTTTTTCCTTATATGAACTCTGCATTAAACCGTCATATAACAACATATTGTAGATGAAATGAGTCTGAACACACACATGCAGAACACCAGTTTGTCTCTGATATGTAGCCCATTTTGTGTTTAACAGTCAGACTCCCTCACATGATTTAATCTGTTCCACTTCTAGTCAATATCCATGAGGAAGAGGGGGATGGAAGCTGAGAGATGCTGTTATTTAATAGGAACACCCCCCTCCCCCACTGCATTTCACAACTCTCTCCCTTAACTTGGAAACCTAGTTTGTATGATGATATGGTTTGCCAGCCATGTGAGACCGAGGGATCACATTGGATACGGATGATCAGACCTCCATAAAACATACATACAAACACAGATGTGCCTGGTTTGGCCGTTCGGTCAGAATAAGCATTTTCAGACTGTCTTCACCTTTGGCCCCTACTTAGGTGTGAGAAATGTAAGGAATTTATTGGCTTGTATTTGAGGTCTGCCTTGACTGAGGTTAATAAGATAACACCTGCATGTACACACACACTCACTTGTCCTAACACCATCCAAGTTGTAGAAGGATGAGAAGGAGGTAAAGTATGCCCTGGGCAGATGTATCACCCCCTGAACCAAAATATGCAAACAAAATATCTAAGGCTGGTTTTGTATTATCCAAAAGTTCAGGGGAACTTGGATAAGTATGCCCCTCCCCCCACATGAAGAAACAAAGAAAAACATTATTTTCTGGTTTTAACAAAGGTAATTTATTTGGGTCAGAGAAATAAAGAATTTATGCTCAAGTTAAACAGGGCACAAAATGGATTTCCTTTGACTGTAAGCCATGATTGTAGGGTTTTGCTTGATTATTGGGTGTTTAGTAATTCAGTTAGATGCTCAGAAACATGGCGGTCAGCTCTTTTTTTTTTTTTAATTTTTTTTTTCAACGTTTATTTATTTTTGGGACAGAGAGAGACAGAGCATGAACGGGGGAGGGGCAGAGAGAGAGGGAGACACAGAATCGGAAACAGGCTCCAGGCTCTGAGCCATCAGCCCAGAGCCTGACGTGGGGCTCGAACTCACGGACCGCAAGATCGTGACCTGGCTGAAGTCGGACGCTTAACCGACTGCGCCACCCAGGCGCCCCAAGCGGTCAGCTCTTTAATGGTCTTGTTTTTAAGGAACACTGATGAGCCCTATGACCTTCTAGACTCAGTCCTTTTGAGTCTTATAAAACCAGACACAAATGACTAAAATGTCTCAAATCTTACTATTCTGTGTCTACACTCAATTCATTTATCTTTGTCAAAGTTTGATTCTAAAATAAGCTCACAGTGAGTAAGTATATACCCTATAATTTCTGTACCTTCCTATGACCTATAAATATTTCAAAGTAAGTTTTTTTACAAGTCAGAACACAAATGACCTCTCAGTGTTCTTCATTATTCAGCTATCTCTCGCTGTTCCTCAGACTTGTGTCAGCTGTCTCGCAAGGTAAACTGTTGGTCACAAGCAGAATCACACAGAGAATGATGATTAGATCAATTCATCACCAAAACCAGAGAAAAATACAGTCTTCAGAGCATGCGTCTTACCTTAATGACCTAAGTCACATCATTTTCATACATGTTTAAGACTAATACCTTGGTATGAGATTATTTTTCTAGTGGAACTTCAGCTGGCTTAGGGCACCCCACTCTACCTACAGAGTTATAGGTAACCTATAGTGGTCTTCCTGAAGTCTTCAGGGTGGGTAATCATATATATTTAGTCCAATTATGCCAGTACGTGCTAACTCTGCAGTAGTCATGATAGACCCAGTTACACCAGATTATGACCAAATGTAACGGACCAGAAAATGTCATAATGCAACTAGTCTCCGGGCTGAAGGCTTGGGAAAAGATGATACAATGAGCCGTCTAACCAAACTTACAACAATTCAGCCCATGTGTTTTGTTTCATTTGGGGGTTATTTTACCAGCTGACCTTCCAGGAAATACATTTAGAAGCCACTTATAATCCCACATATGGGGGACAAAGTAATTCGAGCCTCAGGATGAGAACGTTCCATTAGGCACTTAACCATAATTTTTTTTTTCTTTTTCAACAAAGGCTTTTCGCCCTGAAAACGATATAAATCAACAGATTAAAGAGATGTTCTCTTACCGAAAGGAGAAAATCTGATCTAAGGGAGTCAGTTCAATAAAGCTTTCTCTTGTCTGGAATTCTGTCGGTAAGGATTGATATGGAAAAAATACAAATAATCCAAAGGGCACTGCCTCATTCTTAACAGAACCCGTCTTCTATTTCGGCGATGTCGAGTACTCCGTGGACGAGAGCGCCGGCTACGTGGAAGTGCGGGTGTGGAGGACGGGCACAGACCTGTCCAAGCCTTCCAGTGTCACCGTGAGGTCTCGGAAAACAGATCCCCCCTCTGCTGATGGTGAGCAGTTTCCTATGGCAGCTCTTTCGATTGCTCTACAGTATTCAACTCACCATGAAGCAAAAGACTTTAAAGCTAAAATACTGCATTCCTCCTAAAGCAGTCTGGATGAATGGAACTTTTTCTGAAATTATTATTATTTGGAGATAAGTCTAGGCTCTCTTTATTACTGTGAGAAAATACATTTAAAAGCCACAAATCAGGGGTGCCTGGGTGGCTCAGTCCGTTAAGCATCCTACTTCAGCTCAGGTCATGACCTCACAGTTCGTGGATTCGAGCCCCGCGTCAGGCTCTGTGCTGACAGCTCAGAACCTGGATCCTGCTTCAGAGTCTGTGTCTCTGTCTCTCTCTGACTCTCCCTTGCTCACACTCTGTCTCTCTCTCTCTCTCTCTCTCTCTCTCTCTCTCAAAAAATAAATAAACATTTAAAAAAATATTTTAAAGCCACAAATCAGAGGCTTCGTTACAAACACAGAACTCAAAGACTCTAAATTCTAATGCCTTCTTTGCATGAATTGGTTCTCTAATTCATTAGATTCTAATTCATTAGATTTACACTTTGCAAATCTAACATCATTGCATATTACGGCATCAGTGTGCACAAGAATGATCTTGCCAGCCACTCTCACAGAAATCTAATGAAGGGTAAGTATCTTGAAGATGTGCATCTCCGACCTGGTTCCCTCCTCCTTTTAACCAGATGTCCCCATAAATACTTCAGATCCGAAAGCTTTTCCATGCTTCAGTATATAAGCTACCCTACCTGGTCCATGCTTACTTTTATTCTGGAATGTACATCTCCAAAGAGTTGATCATAAAGTTTCGGGTAAGCATAGGATTAGGAATGTCCTTTGTTTCTTCTTCTAAGTTGCCAACAATACACACTCTGTCTTTCTCGTGTGCACACACACACACGTACATCACGCACGCATCACACACTCATCCCACAAAGCAAGCAGGGGCCATATCATTTTAAAAGTCACACTGAAGTTTTAACCTTTTTAATGTAGTGGAAACAGCATAATACTTTGCATGTAGTCAGTGTCCAGTAAGTATTTGATTCCCTGAATTCATCACTTTTTAAGAAAAAATTCAAATCGGAGAAAGATGAAAATTAAAGATGAAGCAGAGGAAAAGAAAAATACTGGAAGAACCACAAGGACATTTGGATAGAGATTTCAAAAAAATGAATTAAGGGCATATACACTCACAGTTGCATATTCAGAGGTAGAGAGAATATAAAATGAGGGTTAGGAGAACAGAAGGTATGAAAACAAAGAAGCAATAATATGGAAACCTTGTCACCCACTCTCAGCCTTTATGAATTCCCTAAAGATTGACGGACAGTTTTGTTTGTAACTATTTTAGACATAAATTGAGGTGTTGACACTAGGTTTGCACCCCATGGTCTGAAAAATAATAAGCCAAAGACCAGATATGTTTTTGAGAATAAAAGCTGGCTTCTCTCTTTTCCTGGGGTGAGTATGGGTAGAGTGAGAGGGACAAAAGCTTATATCTGACATGTTGCTTTAACCAACAGACAAACACACCTAAGTAGGATATTTTCTTGTAGCCTTGGAAAATAAATATAGATATTTAGCTGATGTTAACAAACTTTAAATGTATGTATTTCATAGGTAATTTTACGATAATCATATATATGATTGATGTGCTGATTAACTCAGACCTGAATTTTATTAGCTCTATTCGAGAATTCTAAAATAAAAACAGAAGAATTATGTAACCAAAGCTAAAATAGCTCATTAGACATAAAGAAAATAAAGTTCAGAACCTGGTCTTTGTTCTACTATCTCAAAAACCTATATGATACTAACCTTTTGCATTTCATTAAATGTACATTTTGCAATGTAATACTGGTCTATATATTTTTTTAAAGAATCACAAATAGGTCTACATAATTTGCATCTCATAATCTTGTTTAATTTAGTCAGTCCCTGACTGAATCATTCTTTTGTTACTCGTATAGCTGGAACCGACTATGTGGGAATCAGCCGTAATTTAGATTTTGCACCTGGAGTCAACATGCAGACTGTTCGTGTTACCATCCTGGACGATCTCGGGCAACCAGTGCTGGAAGGAATTGAGAAATTTGAACTGGTGCTTCGTATGCCAATGAACGCTGCCCTTGGCGAGCCCAGCAAAGCCACAGTGTCCATAAATGATTCTGTCTCAGATTGTGAGTGTTTATTAATTGACAATGATGAGTAAAATGATAGGCTAGAGTTTATATACATGTTAAGTAAAATGATGAACTGGGGTTCGCATACCTGTGGAAGTCTGCTAGGGCGGCCATAAGAAAGTAGTATAGACTCCACAATTTCTTGTCTCACAGTTCTGGAGGCTAGAAATCCAAAATCAAGATGTCGGCAAGGTTGGTTTGTTCTGAGGGCTGTGTGGGAAGAATCTGTTCCATGCCTCTTCTTTGGCTTATAGATACCCATTTTGTCCTTATGTGCCTTTACATTATCTTCTATGTATGTCACTGTGTCTAAATTTCCCCTGCTTATAAAGACACCAATTCTAGTCAATTAGAATCCATTCTCACGACCTAATTTTTACTTGATTACCTCTGTAAAGACCATATCCTCAAAGAAAGTCACATTTTCAGATTGTGGGTTATAGGACTTCAACCTACGAATTTGGAGGGGATGCAATTCGACCCATAACAATACCCTATCTGACCATGTCTTCCTTTCTCCTTCTGACCATTTTGTTAAAATTAGGTAGTCTCAGAAGAAAACTTTTAGCCTTCTTTCCAAATTTAAAAAAACGAAGTGAGATTGTCATCAGTATCTCGATGGAACCACATGGGGTTGCACAGACCCTTGAATGTAATGGTCTTTTCCCACTTCTCAACACAAGACTTCTATCATCTCTAGACACTTGAAACTTCCCTAATAAGGTGCCAAAACTATAGTTCTAAGTCGTGCAGCTGCTGGACACATGGTAAGGCTCTCTGACACATCCTCATGAGGGAGTTTTGAATAAGTTTCAACCATGGTGATCGTGGCGTTGCTTGGAAGAATGTAGCCTATTGTTAATGAGGCCTATGTTTAATTCACCCATCATAGGTATCACTTAAAATATATACATAATATTCAGGATCAAAAACAGTATATATATATATATATATATATATATATATATATACACACACACACACACATACACATATATAATACTATATTCATTATCAACTATTCTCACATAGTCTGGGTAAACTCTGCTTGTAATTATATACACAATATTGAGTGTTATTCACAGATAATTCAGAAATTACCCAGAAATTTCAGTAATTCTGAAAAGCTCATGATTAAGCAACATATATAAATACAGATATCTCAAAGTCTCTGGTTTTGTCTATTTTTTTTTACCATTTCACTGCATCTCCCTACTCCATGGAATGGGCAGAGCAGAATTTCACAGATAAGAGAAATCAAAACACTTCATTTATTTAAAGTGATTTGCTTAACGCCAAAACATTGTCAAGTGACTGCGTGGAAACTGGAATTCAGTTCTCACTTCCGTTCCATTATTCTTGCCACTAAGCCAGGTTCTCTGAAATGCCGTTTTCCTCAAGGAGATCTCTGTCCACTTTGATCCTGATGCCCATTTGTTTTTGCAGTGCCTAAGATGCAATTCAAAGAACGGGTGTATATTGGCAATGAAAATGATGGGCAGATAGTCGCAATGATCCACAGGAATGGAGACATTCACTACAGGTCTTCAGTGAGATGCTACACACGCCAGGGGTCTGCACAGGTGATGGCGGACTTTGAGGAACGTCCAAACACTGATGGCTCCATCATCACGTTCCTCCCTGGTAAGGTTGGGCCTGACATTTTTCTGTGGAATTTGAGGAAGCCGAGTTTTTGATGAGAAATACGTACCAGGAAAATACATGTCCCTGACGTCCACAAGCTTATGGCGTGGTTTTACGTGCACCATGTGAATAGGGCAGAGTAGGCTGTCACAGATTGAACGAATGTCTTTTTCATGTCGTATTAATTTATTAATTAGTTTCCAGTGATGTGCTGTATTGTTTACCCAGGGGCATATCAGCTATATAGATATCTCCCACTGCTGGGAGATAGGGTTCAAATGATAGAAAGGAGAGGAAACAGATGTCACACGTTCAATGTGAATTCAGAGCCTCAAAATGTTTGGTCACTTTGATCCCATAATTGTACTAGAAACTAGTACTGTGGTCACATTAACTCTGACTGTCCGGTACAAGGCTGCTAAATTTACTTCCTGATCGCGATGCAAGAAATTCATACATAAAATTGGTATTTGCTCATTATCCTTGTTTTCTAAGATGAGCAACAGAACTTAAAAACAGACATTAAAGAAATTTCCCATGCAAGTAGGAGCTCTCGTTGCATATGTTCAAACATTTAATCATTCATTCAGCAAATATTTATTGGAGGCTTATGACATGCCGGATACTGTTCTTCGCCCTGTCAGTACAGCGGGGAAAAAAAGCAACATCCTTGCCCTTGCGGTGCTTGTATTCTAGCAGCCCATGTGTCTGTCCTTTAGGGCCTGGGATGGGATTGGGATGGGATGGGATGTAACTGACGTGCTGTTGTTATCACTGTGCCAGGTGAGACTGAAAAGCCTTGTGTCCTTGAGCTGATGGACGACAAACTCTATGAGGAGGTAGAGGAGCTCCGCCTGGTTCTTGGCACCCCACACAGCAACTCCCCCTTCGGGGCTGCGGTCGGGGAACAAAATGAAACTCTGATAAGGATCCAAGATGATGCTGATAGTAAGACGTTATTTCTTGTGTTCAGCTGTAATTTGGAAATTGAAATCCCTCTATGTTGATATTTTTGGTGGCTCAGTAAATAACCCCCTCTTGCTTTTTGTTAATGTTTATTTACTTATTTTGAGGGAGAGGAAGAAAGTGAGCATGAGCGGGATAGGGGGAGAGAGAGAGGGAGAGAGGGAATCCCAAGCAAGCAGGGTCTACTCTGTCAGCACAGAGCCTGATGCGGGGCTTGATCCCAGGAACCATGAGATCATGACTTGAGCTGAAATCAAGAGTTAGATGGTTAACCGACTGAGCTACTCAGGTACCACCCGCCTCTTTCTGACTAAGGTTTTAAAGCAATTGAGAAATAGGGAAAAAGAGTAAGACAAATGGGGAGCCAAATCAACCATTAAAATTGAAAGTTGATGTTGGAGAATATGGTTTATATATAATGCCGAATTTTGAATGTTCATACCTCCCACCTGGTAGAAATAGCCCTGGACCAGCAGTTTCTCCCTCAGCGAGAAAATTTATTATCAGTTTTCTCAGAGACCCACTCCTGTAAGACTTATGGCACATAGAGGCCACCCAGAGTACATGCTCTCTGGGGCTGGTTAATTCCCAAGGAAGGAACTGGACTTCACACACTCAGTTTCTCTTAACCCACTCACCAATAATTACTGGAGAGGGGACGGAGAGATGCCAGGAGTGTAATAGTAATTAAGTTCTTCCCATGTAGAAAGAAACATTAGAAATGAAGAAAAAGTACTCCCCTTACATTTTAATTTATCCACATTTCTCACAATTTTAGAGGCCATCATTAAATTTGGAGAAACCAAATTTAGTGTCAGTGAACCCAAAGAACCAGGACAGTCGGTGGTTATAAAAATTCCAGTGATTCGCCAAGGAGATACTTCGAAGGTTTCCATCGTGAGAGTCCACACCAAGGATGGATCAGCCACTTCTGGAGAAGACTATCACCCTGTGTCAGAAGGTACGGGCGTTCCCAGGGCCTGCCTCCAGGTGGGTGGTGTTCACACTATTTATTGGCACTGGTGCCCTTGAGAAAACGAAGAGAAATACCCAACTGAAACAAAAATAGACATACCCCTTTACATTAATCTCTTCCAGAAAAACAAAGGCAGTGGAATTTAGTTCCAGAATTTTCCTTTTTGACTTACAGGGTTTATGTGTGAGGACTTAGGGAAGTTGTGAATAGACCAAATGATTTTATGTTCTAAGTCTACTTTTACTTTTAATAGGTGTTACCTTTATTATGATAATCAGATACTAAATAAGTTCGATTCTAGAATATTCTAGTACGATGAAAATATGCATGGTAGCTGAGATAGTTTTTTAGTTTATAGAACACCAACAATCTAAAACTTCAAGCTACAAAATTTTGTGTTAATGAAGGGCAGAAAAAGGCCGGTGAAATACCAACCAAAGAGACCATGAATTTTCCAGGCCTTAGGATTTCGTAATGGATGCTTTTCATCCAGCCCTCTCTTTCTTCAAATTTTTGGACCATTTCACCATTTATTTTTATGAGTAATTAAAACAAATCAGTTCTTCTCTCTCTTTTTATAGCTATTTGCTGACAGAATAGCTATAAATTGATTTCTTTGTCAAAGGTAAGTTTGTGAATCATGTGGAGTTCTACTTATCCACATTGTTTCTAGTATCCTACCTGTTGCTACCAACAATCTTTAGTTCTTTTTTTAATGTTTTTATTTATTCTTGATGTGGGGGGAAAGGGGCAGAGAAAGAGACAGAGGATCCAAGGGAGCACTGCTGTGACAGCAGAGAGCCAGATTCGAGGATCCAACCCATGAGCCATGAGATCATGACCTGAACCGAAGTCGGACACTTAACCGACTGAGCCACCCGGGCGTCCCCAATCTTTAGTTCTTGATCATACGGCATCAGGCATTCACCTTGATCTCCTAACTTGTGAAAAAAAAGAAGGTTGGAAAATGATGAACAATGATTTCTGAGTCAGTAATAAAGTTGATGAAGACAATAGGAAAAAAAAAAGCATCCTCTACCAAAAAGCTTATTTTCCTTGCATATATGGTAAATGTTTGACTACTGTAAGGCTTCAAAGTTATCCTCAGAATTTTCTCTTTGCAAAGAATGATATATTTATATTTTAAATATATATTATATTATATTATATTATATTTGAAATAAATCACATACAACCCAAAAGGAGAAGAAAAAAACTGGTTAGCTACAAAATTATAAAAATCTAAAATAAGTCTTTTTTCTGTAAATAAGCAGATTTTACATAAAGGAAACACCTCCTAAAGATGGAGAATGTGACCTTTAACAGAAAATGTTTTTCAAGGAAACAAAACAAATTTTTTTGCTGAAGCAGAAATAAAACTATACCTCTGTAGTAAACTGACCTATGAAGTCAGAAAAAGGTTAAATATCAGTGAATCAGCTTGTGCCTCTTTTATCCCATTGTAAACATGCTGTTTCTAAAGCTTCCGATTAAAATGTCGTCTCTTCTAACCCATATTCTAATTTCTCCCCCTGTGGTCAAAATTGAGGCCAGTCCCTAATGAACAAACAGAAATAACAAATATAGAAGAAAAATTGAAACTTTTTTTGTGCTAAAAATGTCAAAAGTGACAGATAAAGACTAAAGTAATTGAGTCATCAAGGAAACTTACCTATCATCTAGCAAGTGTATGGTGAGAAAACAGTCATTTAAATATTTAAAAGAAATACTTAAGTTTTTAACTTCTTAGAAATTAGGTTTCTGTAGCTCTGGAGGTTATAAAACTTGACTGCTTATATAAGGGCTAAACCAAGTGATGAAAAGAGTGAAGCAAGTGACGTAGGAGGGAAAATGACACGTTGGAGGCGTTACTGAACCATAAAGTCCATTCCCTGCTGGGAAAACCCGGCACCATCATAGCCAGCTGACTTTTGCCAAGCAGGAAAGTGCAAAAGAACTTAAAAAAAAAAAAAAATCTGTATTTTTCTGTGCAATCCCCAGATATTTTTGGTTTCAAAAACTAATTTTATAATGAAATGTCACAGGAGTCAGACCAAACAAATTGATGGGCCAGAGATGATCAGATCTTTTCATCCTCCGGAACAAGAACCCTAAATTCTCTCAGGGTCTGAGAAACCCAAGACTAATAGACTCAAAGAGCACGCTAAGGCTAATGTGGAAGATGGCTATATATAGAAACAGAACTTGGGGCGCCTGGGTGGCGCAGTCGGTTAAGCGTCCGACTTCAGCCAGGTCACGATCTCGCGGTCCGTGAGTTCGAGCCCCGCGTCAGGCTCTGGGCTGATGGCTCAGAGCCTGGAGCCTGTTTCTGATTCTGTGTCTCCCTCTCTCTCTGCCCCTCCCCCGTTCATGCTCTGTCTCTCTCTGTCCCAAAAATAAATAAACGTTGAAAAAAAAAATAGAAACAGAACTCATTTTAGAGGGATCTGGCTTACTCAATTTTAAAGAAAAGCAATCTTTTTCATAATTTTTAAAAAAATAGAAGTAGCAGAAGAAACACATTGGAGACACATTTTCCTTTGCCACACTTTAAAGGATTTGTAATTTAGAGTTCTAATGGTTGAACTTCAGTTACGTCGGAAACAGCATCTGCTATCTTCTCTAATTGGAATGATATGCATTAAACTTTTTATTTCTCTTCTGAGCCAGTTTCTCAAAAGGTACAGGAAAACCAACGAAGTCGTTTATCCAAGTCTCATGATATGGGTAGCTGCTGACTCTTGAGTTCAGTAAAATCAATTAATTTTTAACGTTTTAAGAATTTTGAAATGAATAATTTTTGAAAAGGATTCTCATAACTGGGTTTCATTTTCATGACAATGAAACAAATTTGTTTTTAGTGAGGGCAGGATTGAGGGGAAGAATACCATTCGCATCTCTCAAAAAGAATTTTCTAAGTTTCCAAGATTAACGCCAACAACAGAAAAAAGTCTTCTTAAAATATAATTTGATACAATATTAAAAAGCTGAACAATTTTATATCCACCTTATATAATCCATACATACTTAATGCAAGTGCTGTTCACAGTTCATAATATTTGTAAAATTAGTCACTTAACTTGGATCCTATTGGCTCAGAAATTCTGGAACCAAGAAGTCCGTTTTTCTGGTTACGCCTCAGTATTAGAACTGGTGATCTTCTGTTCCATTACTCTGTGTTTTTTCAGACTGTGGGCCAACAAACAAATATAGTAGCTTCTGATTAGAATTTTATTTGGATGAAATTGAATAGAATGGAAAACATTGAAGTGCAAGACCTGAAGTAAAAATAAATGATGTTTTCAAACTTGTGATTCCATTTTATTCATACACACACACACACACACACACACACACACACACACAGACACTGGGCCACAGCGTGAAGTGTTTTTCCTCATTGTGAGTCACTGTCAAAAAAGCTTGACAAAAATTTCACATATTCGTGTGTAAAGGACTTCAATCTGTGATTCTGCATTTGTAGAAATTGAGTTTAAGGAGGGAGAAACGCAGCATCTTGTTAACATTGAAGTAATCTTCGATGGGATCAGAGAAATGAGAGAGGCCTTCACTGTTCACCTAAAACCCGATGAGAACATGATTGCAGAGACTCAGGTAAGAGAATGTGGATACAAATTCAGGGCTTGCACTTTAATCGGGGAAAATGCATATAAGCCTCACATGGTATACAGTAGACTAATGGAATTTTGTGCAAGCCTCGTGTAAGGAGATGTGCATAATCCCCTTTTCACCTCAGAAATAAATGTTGCTCCTATTACTCTTCTTTTGAAAAGTCATGTGTAGAGAAACTCAGAGACTACAGTCACTGAGCCCCACGTCTGCCCATTTAGCCTTTCCATTTCAGTCGGCAGCCATTGAATTTGAGATTCATTTCCAGAAAGAGAGCATCATCTCCGCATAAAGAGAAGACTGTAAATTCGGTGCTGCAGCTCATTAAAATGTACATTTTAATCCACGTCACAGTTTGCTGTCCCTCAAAATTCCGCTCATCCTAGCTTTATCAAATGGATGTCCGGAGCCTCAGCGACCAAAATGTTATGGTCTTAATACTGGTTTTCTGTGCTCATTTCACTTAAATTGTGTCACCGACCAATTTTCTTCAAGATACACATAATTTCCACAGAATGTTGACATTTGAACCTTAATCTCTACAACTGAATAATTTTAGGCACAGACCAATGTTTCTAATATCTACGCTTAAATTTACTGTTTCTTTGATTATTTAATTTACTATTAGTACAAAATCAAATTGGGCAGATTTCTTCCCTTCAGTATTTGTTATCATTTTATAAGCTTTCCTGCTTGATGGTATTTCTGCTACAGTGCCTGGCTTTTTTTTTTAAGTCATATTGAAAATTCAAGAAGTATGGGCCGAAAACCTTTCCCACGTATATATTTTTTATAACCCTTGATCACATTAAAAATGATTATTGCTATTTTTATGGAGCATTGCATTAAACTCTTTGGGGTGAAAGGAACAGAGATTCATTCAGGTCACTTCAAGGGACAACAGCTTCTTTTACAAATCCACAGGTGAATATAGATTTGGAAACTGTGATATATAAGATATCGGAAGGTTCTTCAGGAGCTAAGGCAAATTTATCGGCAGGGTGTCCTGGCATCACGCTCTGCCTGGGCTTCAGGCTGTGCTTCTTGTCTCTGCTCATTTAAAGCCTCGCTTTTCACTGGCATCTGCGTCAGCGTGGCCATGCTGTCATATGACCCCTAGGATCTGCCTTATTTCAGCCTGTCGCTCAGCTTTTTTCCCACTAGCAACTAATTGGCCCTTTCATGGGTCTTCCATGTCTCAACCCAAGACAGATTCAGCCGCGATCATCACGATTTGGAGAGGAAAAATAGAACCCAAACACCTCGTGAACCACCGGCCAACCCCGGCTTCCCTGGGCTCATGCACCCTCCCCTGGTGCCAGAAGATATGGCCAAGGTGCCAGAATCACCCAGAACAAACCACATAGGGCCTGTCACTCTGCAGGGGCCCTGCGTGTGACAGTTCTCATCATTGTGACGCCAGGGACGTGCCAAGCATCATGGGTATCGTACCGTACAATAGAAGCTCCTAGAGCCAAATATTTTAATAATCAAAGGTAATTATCTTTTCCCTGTAGGTCACCAAAGCCATTGTGTATATAGAAGAAATGAACAGCATGGCAGACGTCACTTTTCCTTCTGTTCCTCAAATTGTGTCGTTACTGATGTATGATGACACTTCCAGAGCTAAAGATAGTGCTGGACCTGTGTCTGGCTATCCCATCGTCTGTATCACAGTGAGTAGGCAATTGACAAAATTGAGAAAAATTGCAAAATGACTATTTAAAATAATTATAGATGTTAGCCAGTGTAGGATAGGCTTTGCCATGAAGAAATGCCAAGTGGAAAATACCACAAGGCATAAGCTTTGAACTTTGGTGACAGGAAAACATAACGTTAGTCAAATAAAGCTCCTATTTTTCTTCCTTATCCAACAAAGGTTTATTAACTCATGTGTACACAGTGTGTTATCTCTTGTTATCTCAGGGTCTGCCATTGATAGAAAAATAAATAAGGGTTGAACTGTGCACTCAAGAAACTTAAAAATTGGATTTTTAAGGAAGAGAAAAATGGATAGGAATTGTCGCTCTACCAGAGGGTAAGATGTGATCATGACCATGAAAGCCAGCTAAAGCCCCAGCTCCATGTGTGAGAAGAGGCTTGGGGCACTTGTGTGGAATTTCAGCAGTTTAAGATAAGAGTCAGACAGGGGAAGGCCATTCCAGGAGGAAGTGATTGCAACACGAGCTTCATCTACAGGAATAGCACTAAAAAATGGCATATTATGATTACTTTTTACTTGCCTCTCCTTGACTTTAAGTTATAAGTTCCTTGCGAGCAAAACTGGAATGCACTTATTTTTATATGTTATTTTTATATGACCACAGCCCAGGTGTAATGATCTACGTATAACAGGCACACAATAAATGTTTATCGAATTAACTAGGCAGGTAAGAATTTGGTCCCAAGTTATAGAGTTCTTTCCATGTTATACGAAGGACCGTGGACTTCATCGGTTGGGTAGCAGGGGGTTCTCGCGCAGAGGAACGGCAGGAGAAGAGAGCTGTGTTGGAGTGTCCCCACACAGCAGTGTGTCACTTGCCCGGAAAGACCCCCAGCCTGCTGCGAGGTGGTGCTGGGAATGGGAAGGAAGGTACCGGCTTAAACATTGCAAAAGAAGAATCAACCAAGTTCACTGACCCACCGGAAGTGGGGGACAAGATGAGAGAGAGGAGGGAGGGAGGGAGGGAGAACAAGAATGATTCAGGTCATGAGGTGATGCAAAGCATAGCAAGTTTACGGGCATCAAGTTAGAGTAGAAACGCCCAGTAAGCTATTTGAAATGGAAGCTCAGAGTCCACATGCCTGTTAGGGCTAGAATAGAAATGTGCCGGCTGCATGAATAGCAGGTAGAAATGGCAAAAAGCAGCAGGGAAAACACTAGGATAGAGAGCTTGAGAGGCAGAACTTCCACACTGTTCTGTGCCGTGGCCCTAACAGTCACTTGTCTCCCACAGGCTTGCAACCCTAAATACTCAGACTATGACAAAACAGGCTCCATTTGTGCAAGTGAGAACATCAACGACACCTTGACCCGGTACCGATGGCTGACTAGCGCTCCCGCTGGCCCTGATGGCGTGACCAGCCCCATGAGAGAAGTGGACTTTGACACCTTCTTTACGTCATCCAAGATGATCACCTTAGACTCCGTATACTTTCAGCCTGGCTCTCGGGTGCAGTGTGCGGCTCGTGCTGTGAATGCCGATGGCAATGAGGGCCTGGAGCTGATGAGCCCTGTCGTAACCATCAGCAGAGAAGAAGGTACTGCACCGCCATTGTCACATGACGACCAGTGGAATACACAAATGTCTGATTCCTGGCTATTAGTTCTCCCAAATGCCCCCATGCATTCCTTAATATTCTTTAAGTGCTTAATTGTTTTTAAGTTTATGTATCTGTTTTGAGAGAGAGAGTGAGAGCGGACGAGGGGCAGAAAGAGAGGGAGAAAGAAAATCCCAAGCAGCCTCCGTGTTCTCAGTGCCAAGCCCGACGCAGGGCTGGACCTCACGAACCGCGAGATCGCGCGTGACCTGAGCCGAAATTGAGAGTAGGACGCTTAACCAACTGAGCCACCGGGTGCCTAAATATTCTTCAAGTACTTAAAAAATGACATCATTTTTATAAAAATATTCATTAGAAAATAAGTATTTATTTGTTCCACGTGTTTTGATCACCTGTTCTATGCCAGACTTCAGGCTGGCATACGCATACTTTCTGCTGGTGATGAGAACAAGAGATCAGGATGCTTATTCTCGAGGAATTCACTCAAGCCGGGGACAAAGATTAACTTTAGTCTGGACAAGGCACAGTAAAAGTGATTCGTTCTACCCTGGGTGGGTCAGGAAAGGTTTCCTCAAAGAAAAACTGCTTACACTGAATCTTGGAAACAGCAGAGAAAGAAAAGCATGAGCAATTACTGATAGAAGGCTGAAAAATCCTGGGATAATCCGGAAACTACAGAGACATGGGGAAGCATGTGAGAGGGACACTAGGGAGAATCTGGACACGGTGGCTCCTATACGATGACCCGGTTGCTGCACAAGTAGGAGTTTGCTGGGGACCCGGCCCGAGGAGGGATGGTGCAGGTGGAGAGAGATGTACAGGTGTCCACACTCTGTGATTATGGGGGTGGGGGATGGGGGGGGGGCGGTCCAGGGCCGAAGCCCAGACACTGGAGAACAGGATGTAGCTGGAGACAACACTGAAAAGACAGGAACTCTACTTTATAAACTAATCTTGCACTCTGGAGAAGAACTTTTAAGTTAGATTTTTATTTTTTTTTTTAAGTTAGATTTTTAAAATAACAGTCTGGTGGGGCACCTGGGTGGCTCAGTCAGTTGGACGACTGACTTCGGCTCAGGTCATGATCTCACAGCTTGTGGGTTCTAACCCCACGTTGGGCTCTGTGCTGACAGCTTAGAGCCTGGAGCCTGTTTCGGATTCTGTGTCTCCCTCTCTCTCTGCACTCCCCAACTCGCACTCTGTTACTCTCAAAAATAAATAAACGTTAAAAAAATTGAAAGTAACAGTTTGTTTATAAGATTTTATTCCTAAAACTTCCTTTGCATATAATGGTTCAGAAGTGTATTTGTTGCATAAAGAAATGTTATAGGTACCACCTCCCACAGTTAATACTCAGGATCGATATTTATTGATATCATATATAGTAAACATGCTCTTCTGTTAGAATTAAAATACACGGTTTTTAAATTTTTTTAATGTTTTTATTTATTTTTGAGACAGAGAGAGAGAGACAGAGCATGAGCAAGTGAGGGGCAGAGAGAGAAGGAGACACAGAATCTAAAGCAGGCTCCAGGCTCTAAGCTGTCAGCACAGAGCCCGATACAGGGCTCAAATTCACCACGAGATCATGACTTGAGCTGAAGTCGGACGCTTAACCGACTGAGTCACTCAGGCACCCCTAAAATATATGGTTTTTAAATTCCTCTAAAAACCAAACTGTTATGTTAGTACCAGAAAGGAAAAAAAAAATTAAACACTGCCTTAAAATGAGTCCCCCTCGGGGCGCCTGGGTGGCGCAGTCGGTTAAGTGTCCGACTTCAGCTCAGGTCACGATCTCGCGGTCCGTGGGTTCGAGCCCCCCGTCGGGCTCTGGGCTGATGGCTCAGAGTCTGGAGCCTGCTTCCGATTCTGTGTCTCCCTCTCTCTCTGCCCCTCCCCCGTTCATGCTCTGTCTCTCTCTGTCCCAAAAATAAATAAACGTTGAGAAAAAAAAAAAATGAGTCCCCCTCTTTATAAAATAGTCCAGATTCTGGCAACTGCCTTGATTTTATTGCTACCTTAATAAATATTTGTCTGTTTCCTTTGTTTTGTACAAATGGAAAAGAGATTATATATTGCCTAATTGTCTTGAAATTACAACCCCGCATCTTTGTTCCATGTTACGAAAATGAAAACATTACAATTCTTTTAAAGTAAACATTGGAGGAAGATTTTCATGTCAGCATTCTTGAGGATCACTGAGAGCTAGATAGATGCTAGACAGAAAACAATCTTATATCGTCATGTGTTTCAGTACGTGTCTGCATATGTATCAGTATATTTTGTATCAGTATGTATATTATAAATTATAATTCATAATACACATACCATAAGAAGTTACATATATAGAGAAAACTCTACTGTATACATTTTGTTCCCTAATTTTAAGGAGACTTTAGGTTTTTTTGTTTTAAAGGTGAGTGCATTTTTAGTTGCTTTGATTATCAATACCGATACTTTATGACTAGTCAGTAAGTATATTATTCTATGGTAAACATCCAATTCATGTAATTAAACTGTAGTTATTTTTTCCTGTCGGCTTTCACATGTTATATTAAAATGACTTTGTAAATATGATTATAACCTAGAATGAATGCCCAGTGTATTAAACAATTGAACAGTAAACAGAATAATTAAACATTGAACAGTAACGATTTTTTCTCAAACTTTATAAAACACCCAACATGTAAAGAAGTAGCCAGTAAACTGTCTGCTGTGATTGCTTCTCACACCAGGGTTTTCGGCTTTTTTATAGCTCTTCTTAGCAATGCTTTGGTCCACAGAGAATTTTTTTAATTTTATTACTTAAAAAGTAAGGGTGCCTAGTTTAAAAACATTCTCTAGGTGTTGTCTGTTTTCTTCTTTTAGCATAAACATGTTCGTTTTTCCCTGAGGTCTTTGTCAGCCCCGAGTACCAGGGACGGTGGGAGCAGAACCATTCTCCGCTAAACTGCGCTACACGGGCCCCGAGGACCCAGAGTACACAAACCTTATCAAGCTCACTGTCACGATGCCACACGTAGACGGTAGGTGGCTTGGGTGAGCAAAGCCACGGGAGTGGTTTGGGCTCCTCCATACCTGGTTCATGTCACTGAGTGGTCGAAATCACCAAGCAGACAATACATGTTCATTGTGCAACTTGACCATCGAGTCCTTCTGCTTCTTTCAAGTGTTTCTGCTTTCTCTCGATCCTGTTTTTTTTAAGTGTGATGATTTACGCATTCTTTAAAATGAAATAAATTTAATACATTGTCCAAACACGATGGAGCAAAACTTTGGTTAATGTGCTAGTTTTTATGAAATGGCACAAATATGTCCATCCTTAAAAACTCTTAATCTTAAACTTGGAATTCCGGTAAAGTATCTCAGCATCTCATTGAGCCTTCAGTGTGTATTTGCTATTTCATAGCCGGAATTTTATAAATCCAATTTATAAATGGTGTTCATTTTCTCCAGATAAGAAAGTGTGGCCAGAATTTATGAGTCATTAACTTTATCCACACTGGGAACATTTTCCCAAGTACAGAAAATGTTTTCTTTCTTTTTTTTTTTTTAACGTTTATTTATTTTTGAGAAACAGAGACAGAACGTGAGTGGGGGAGGGGCAGAGAGAAAGGGAGACACAGAGTCCGAAGCAGGCTCCAGGCTCTGAGCTGTCAGCATAGAGCCCGACGCGGGGCTCGAACCCACAAACCATGAGATCATGACCTGAGCTGAAGTTGGACGCTTACCCGACTGAGCCACCCAGGCGCCCCCAGAAAACATTTGCAAGTTCTATTCCCCTCAATGACTTTATACCTGAAATAAATTGTTAATATTAATTTCACCACTTGGTGTGTTAGTTATAGTTTAAGTAGCTAGGTGAGAGGAAACAACTGGTCAGTGTTGGGAACGATAAGGTAGAATTTTTCTTTCTCAGAAAAAAAAAGACGTGTGTTTTTCCTGCTTATTACAAACCCAAATTTGTGTTGGTGGGAGATAGGTGGGCAAGAATGTGCACCTCTTTACTTTACAGCATAGTGAGGGGCCCACGTACGCCCAGCCCATCTCTAGGCTCATGTTAGAGATGTGACTCAAAGGTGCGAAGGGAAGGAGGGACCCAGCAGGGAAAAACAAGCTATAACAGTCCTAATAGAAAGGCTGGTCCCTCATGCTGCTCCCAGAACTGACTGTGCATTGTGTGCATTGGTCAATAGCCACAGCTCTTCCAGGAGCATGGTAGAAGCTGACCAGTTCTTTTGTGAGGCCAAGGGTCGCTCTAGAAGAATCTGAGAATGAGAGGTGGGTAAGGTTCCAGGAGAACACCTCTCTCATGGTCCTTTGCTGCGTTGTTTACACCGGGCTTCAACAAACTGTGGCCTCTGTGCTAAATCCAGCTTGCTGCCTCTTTTCAAACAACCTTGCAACCTAAGAATGGTTTTACATGTTTAAATGTTTGGAAAAAAACAAAAGAACAATATTTCATGGAGCGTGAAAATTACATGAAATTATAATCCATTGTTCATGATAAAGTCTTCTGTTAATACTTTTACATGTCTCCCATGGCAGCCTCCCATCTACCATGGCCGCATCGAGCCGTTGTGACACAGACCTGATGGCCCACAAATTTTAAAATATTTACTATTTGACCCTTTATGGAAGAAGTTTGCCAGTCCTCGGCCTGTATTTTATAGGGGTAGTTTTAAACTACCCCTTGGTCTCAGAACATCCTTAAAAACTATTTAGGATCTCAAAGACTTCCTGTTTTTATGAGTTATGTCTGTAAATATGGCCTAGATTTAAAATTAAAATTAAGGAGTTATTGTCATTCAGTGAAAAATAAATCCATTGCATATTAGCATGAAAAACATACTTTTAACAAAAATAACTATAATTGGGGCACTTGCGTGGCTCAGTCGGTTGAGTGTCCGACCTCAGCTCAGGTCATGATCTCGCGGTGCATGCGTTTGGGCCCCGCGTCAGGCTCTGTGCTGACAACTCGGAGCCTGGAGCCTGTTTCAGATCCTGTGTCTCCCTCTCTCTCTGTTCCTCCCCTACTCGTGCTCTGTCTCTCTGTCTCTCTCTCAAAAATAAAGATTAAAAGAAATAAAAACAAAAAAAACTATCATTTATAAATCAAAAAAATTTATTGGTTTTCTTATACTTTTAAAATATATTTAATGTCTGGCTTAATGAAAGACAGCTGAATTCTTTTATCTACTTCTGCATTCAATCTGTGGCAATGTGTGATGACCTGTACCCTCTGAAGAAGTCCACGGTACACTAGTGAGAGAATAATGGTGGGAAAGTCAAATAATGCCTTAGAATCATTATGAGAATAGTTTTAGTATCACAGATCTCCTGAAAAATTCCAGGGGACATCTGGGACACCACATTGAGAGTAATCACTGCCATACAGTATTTTATAACACTTGTCTTCTGGAGGATGAAGAAACGACAAGTGTTCTAAGCCCTTTGCTGGTGACAATGGCATCATGATTACATTTCCTCGCAGGCATGCTCCCTGTGATCTCCACTAAAGAGCTTTCCAACTTCGAGCTCACCCTCAGTCCTGACGGCTCAAGAGTTGGAAACCACCAGTGCTCCAATCTTCTGGACTATACTGAGGTGAAGACCCACCATGGTTTCTTGACTGATGCTACAAAAAATCCAGAAATAATTGGAGAGACGCATCCTTACCAGTACAGCTCGTCTATCAGAGGTTCCAGTACCTTACGCTTCTATCGAAACCTGAACCTGGAGGCCTGCTTATGGGAGTTTGTTAGCTACTATGACATGTCAGAACTTCTGACTGACTGTGGAGGCACCATCGGGACGGATGGACAGGTATGGATTTTGAACATCTGAGCTTCGGTCACTGGAAAAGCCAGTTGGTTCTGTCCAAGTATACAGATTTGGACTAAAGCCCACCTCCAGGCTTCCATCTTGGTGGTAGTTCATTAGGCACAAGAGACACTGTCATGACTGGTGTGAAAATTCATGTCTGCTTCTGGAATCATTATCATTGTCTTTGTATCAAAGGGTCACTGTATAATTATTGCCATAAAGTCCAAGTCTCTTCTGATATTATAAAATTCCAAGTACTAATTTCTTTTCAAAGCATACATCATCATTTATTGTGTATACATACAGATGTCTGTAATGTATCATAAATCATCTAAGATGAGGATTTTCAATCCTCTGGTGAGTTCAGTTTTTCTTCTTCCTTAGTTTCTTCCTGCACCTTCTATCTTTCTGTCCTTTATCCCGTCTTCTCCTGCCTAGTTTTCAAATCCCCTTTGCCTCCCAGTCTGCTTCATTTCTCCATCACTAACATAGTCAAAAGCATTTGTACTACAGTCTTATTGTTATTCCTCCTCTGTGTTTATTGACTCTTCTTCATACTACGCAGACATTTGCACATAAAATACACAACACACACACACACACACACAAAATCCCTACCCTCATCATCATGAACAAAGTTGTCAAAATGATGAAGAGGCAAGATCTCCATTGGCAGTTATGATAGAGAATCTAAAATATGTTGAGTGTAGTTTAGAAGCATAATGAGTGTTTGAACTAAAAGCCATGCTCTGTCCTACCTGGACTAAACAAAGAGTTTATATAAGCAGGCTTACACATTAAAGTGTTGAATGGTACCCCGTATGTATCATGTCTTTCAAGACTTCGCCAGGGTGAGGCCGGATTTTGACCGATCTATATCCCCGTGGTGTTAAAGTATAAAACATGTAGTAGCATTAGAAATGTGAATGACAACAGTATCAGTTTAACCTGAGGCGAAGCTGTGAAACCTGACACATTCAGCTAGTGTTGATGTGGAATGGTCAGCATTGATTACATCTGGGGACTACTGGACTCCCAGGTAATGAGACGTTATCTCCATCTCCTCTGAAAGCAGCAAAATATTCAGAAACTTGCAAGGATTAGTAAAAATTCACAAAACACCAACAGGAAGACAGTACGGAATGCTGGAAAGAGCATGGATATTAGAAACTAGCACATGTAGACCTAAATTTGGCTCTGAGGTTTTCTAGCTTTGTGTCCCTGGGTGAGTTACTTAAGCCCTCGGAAGTGTTACCTCTTCAGGTCCCTCTTCCCCAGTGTGTCTTTGCCACCAGAAAGAAACGTGAAAGAAAAAAGTCTTCCCCCAGAATAAAAATCAAGGCTCATATTAACAAATCTACGTCAGCCTTTTCCTTTATAGGTCAAATATCCCTGGTTCCTTCAGCTGGGACTCACAGAACTTGTTTCCAATCCGTTATTCAATCATTCCGGTTTTCCTTCTCATTGCTCTTCTCTCAGGATCTTGCATAAGTCACAGGATCTGTCAGCATAGACAAAATTAGATATATAATAGGATTACATTTTAGTTCCAGTTCTTTGTTATCATTCACTCAGTACCATGGAGCTTTTCTATGGGTCTCACCTAGGCTATAGTTTATTTTCACCCTCAAGAATGTTTTCCATCTTTTCTGCAAAGTGGCAGCATTTTTTGATCCTTTATATCTGCAACCCACACAGCCTTCTCTAGTGAAAACCTTGCACTTGCCCGCTGAAGTCCTATCCTATTACATCTGCCCACTTCTTCAGTGTCTCAAGGGCATTATTTTTTTTTAATATTTATTTATTTTAGAGAGAGAGCACAAGCAGGGGAGGGGCAGAGAGAGAGGGAGACACAGAATCCAAAGTAGGCTCCAGACTCTGGCTGTCAGCACAAAACCCAACGCAGAACTGTGAGATCATGACCTGAAGTCGTACGCTTTGCCCCAAGGCCATTCTGAATGCAAATTCTGTCCCTCTAATGTGTTCATGTCTCTAGCCAAATCTTACCATAAAATGCTCAGCTAAATTGACTATACTTTGCTCTGTGTGTGTGTGTGTGTGTGTGTGTGTGTGTGTGTGTTTAAATCACAGTTCCTCTATTTAATTTTTTAACTTCAGTGTTTTTTCCTTCCTATCACCACCGCCAGGCAGAAAAGTCACTGCCCTGCTTCTGTAGTTCAGCTGTCAGCGGTTCTGCTCCATTAGGTGAAAGCTAGCAGCCGGAGGCTGAAGTTAAGATTTACCTCCCTGAAAGGCTTCTGGTATCTAACACTAGGAATAGAAGAATTATCTCATCCAATTCTTAACTGGTTTGCATTACCTTCCTAAGATGCCCAGATGCATATAGGAGTTTCTTCTTAGAAGCTTTGTTTTTGTTTTTGTTTTTGTTTTTTTTTGCTTTAGAATTGTTGAAAATAAATCTAATAGTATCACCATCACAATCAACATAAATAGAGATGACCGGATTCAGTATAAATCACTGAAATTTCAGGATCTTGTTATAAAATTTTAAAAGCCTCAGTATAAACTAAACATTAATATAATCTAATAAGACATGTTGATCACTCTCTTAGAGTGGAGCTCAGAGATGTTCATCTCCATTTCCCCTACTTTCTTCCTTAGGCTTAAACTTTTACTTCTCCCCACCTCCCCCCAACACACACATTACTTAAATATAGGTGAGGAAGAGGAAAATATAAAGTAGAAGAAATATAGTAGCTCTTTGAGATATTTCCCTAATTTTCCCCATTACTTTTGAGTTCTGGAGAAAAAGAGAAAATACCTAATGATTGTACTAATGATAACAATAATGATAATAATAGCAATAGCTAACAATTATTTAATGTCTACTCTGTGCCCGCCATTCTTCTAAATACATATTTCCACAAATTCTGTCCTCACATTATGAAACAAATATGAATTTTTCCCCCTTATTAGACATAAGAAGGCTGAAGCAAAGAGAATTCAAATAATGGCCCAAATTCAATTCGCTTGTAAACCTGTGCTGTTAACCACATCATGATTCTTATCTGGACATCTAATTGAGTGAATTAAATGCCATTTGATTGGGTGAATGACAGGAATGGATGTGGTCCCAGATATAATTGCAGGAAAGGCAAATGTACTTCTCTGTGCTTGGGACCAAAATGCTGCCCAACCATGGTCATGAGAATGCATGCCAGTTAGGTCTATGCCCCCTGCTGATAAAGTTATACAAATCCAAAACTTAGCTCACAACTGTGAGATCATGACCTGAGCCAAAATCAAGAGTTGGATGCTTAACTGCCTAAGCCACCTAGGCACCCCTCTAAAATTATATTTAATGAGATATTTTACTTTTTTTTTGCTACTGTCTTTGAAGTCTGGTGTGTATTTTGCATGCACAACACATCTCAATTCTGACTGGACTCATTTTGAATGGTCAGTAGCCACACATGGCTAGTGGTTACCATATTGGGAAGCACTGATTAAACTATTTACCCAAGGTCTTTTTTTTTTCATTTTTAAAGTTTATTCATTTATTTTTGAGAGAGATAGAGACAGTGTGAGTGGAGGAGGGGCAGAGACAGAGAGAGAGAGAGAGAGAGAGAGAGAGAGAGAGAGAATCCCAAGCAGGCTCCACACCATCAGCACAGAGCCCAATGCGGGGCTCAAACTCACAAAACCATGAGATCATGACCTGAGCCAAAACCAAGAGTCTGAAACTTGACTGACTAAGCCACCCGGGCTCCCCTACCCAAGGTCTTTTAATTAAACCACACAGGTTGAAAACAATGATCATTTAAAAATATTTTACAATCTTGTATCTACCCACCTTTATGTGGGATATGTGGTTTGTGCTTATTTCAAAGATTAAAAATTGAAGTAGAATTGTTAGAATGTTATCTGACTACCACTAGTATGGATTTCTCACGGATTGAAATTTCTTTCTATTGCTCCTTTTGTTACCAGAAATATGTCTACATCATCAAGATGGTGGTGTTTGTGAATGTGTAAAGAAGGCTCATCGATCTCAATAGCTTAAAGTCTCAATAAAACATGTACTTAGCTACCCAGGGGAGATCATTGTTTTAACAAGTTAGAATCTTTAGCCAAGGGATTAGTAGTATTAGCAGTCTACACATCCAGGAACACTTGGAAGAAAGAGGCCTAGGCTTGTGTCCACATACAAGACTTTCTGAAGTCTTATGAGATCAGAGATGCATAAGGGAGACCCTGGAATGAGGTAGGGTCAATACTGGTCCACAGATTCCTTAGTATTTAGGATAACTTTATGGGATATTTACAATGATAGAATTAGAAATTAACTAAATGACCAATAATAGAATAGTTACGATTACCCACAAGGTAAAAATATTATATAGCCATCAAAAGTCATGTATCTGAAGAATTTTCCTTGTCATGAGAAAATGCTAACAACATTAAGTTAAAAAGCAATATACAAGGTAGTATAAATGATATTACATTGCTACTATTAAAAATGTGTGTGTATATTGGAGAGAACTAGAAAATTTGGCTGTGCACAATGATAACAGACTAATGAACAAGATTTTTCTTTTTAGATGCTTTTAGTTTCCCAGCTTTCCACAGAACTAACATTAATCTCACTTAAAAAAAAACCAAAGAAACCATGAGGTGCCTGGGTGGCTCACATGGTTAAGCATCCAACTCTTGGTTTTGATTCAGGTCATGATCTCATGATCATTGAGATCGAGCCCCGTGTTGGGCTCTGTACTGACAGCGTGAGCCTGCTTGGAATTCTCTCTCTCCCTCTGCCTCTCCCCACTGCCCCCCTGCCATGTACACACACATACTCTCTATCTTAAATAAATAAATAAATAAATAAATAAATAAATAAATAAATTTTTATTGACTACATATTAAAATGTAATATATTTGATATACTGGACTAAGTAAGCTATTCTTAAAGTTAGTTTAGCATGTTTCTCTTTACTTTTTTTCTTAATGTTTACTTTTGAGAGAGAGAGAGTGTGTGAGCAGGGGAGGGGCAGAGAGAGTGGGAGACACGGAATCCGAAGCAGGCTCCAGGCTCTGAGCTGTCAGTTCAGAGCCCTATGTGGGGCTTGAATTCATGAACCGCGAGATCATGACCTAGGCCAAAGTCGGATGTTTAACCCACTGGGCCACCCAGGTGCCCCTCCCTTTACTTTTTGAAGTATGGCTACTAGAAAATTTTAAATTACATGTGTGGCTCACATTATATTTTTATTGAATAGTGCTGGTCTGGATACTTGAATGTTCATGCTGATTGTGCTGAATAATCTTGGGCAAGCCAATTGACTTCTTCATGGCTTAATTTCAACACATGTAGAATATAGTCTTGCTTGAGTAAAAGGTGCAGAAGAACAAAGTAAATCTAGATAGGTTTTATTAATACAATATATACTGCCAACTTTTTTTTTTTTTACGTTTATTTATTTTTGAGACAGAGAGAAACAGAGCATGAACGGGGGAGGGGCAGAGAGAGAGAGGGAGACACAAAACCTGAAACAGGCTCCGGGCTCCGAGCTGTCAGCACAGAGCCCGATGCAGGGCTCGAACTCACTGACTGCAAGATCATGACGTGAGCCGAAGTCAGTCGCCCAACTGACTGAGCCACCCAGGCGCCCCTATACTGCCAACTTCTATAAGAAGCAGTGCGTATATATACTGCCTACTTCAATAAGGCAATATTTAAGTTGGATGGCTTAAGCTGTATGCCCCAATAAGTGAAGATTTTTTTTTATTTAAGTTTGTTTATTTAATTTTTTGTTTGAGAGAGAGAGTGTGTGCACGCAGGGGAGAGGCAGAGAGAAAAAGAGAGAGAATCCCAAGCATGCTCTGTGCCATCAGTGCAGAGCCCAATATGGGTTTCGAACCCACCACAAACCATGAGATCATGACTTGAGCTGAGATCAAGAGTCAGGTGTTTGACCGACTGAGTCACCCAGGCACCTCCCAGATAAGTGAACAATTAAATCTGTGATTTACCTCAACTCTAGTTCCCACCTTAGACAGCATTCTGAGTATAATTTTTCTTTTAGAGTATTCATCTTCTTTCCTGTTATTTCCCTCTCCTACCCATCTGACATGGCCCAGCAGAAATTCCTTTGTCCCTTCAGCTGACAATACCTCCCCAAATATATACTTGCTGCCCATTATTAGCCACTTAGTAGTGGTAGTGGAAATTGATATCAGTGTTACCTTTTCCAGAGAATTTGCACTTTATATTTTCCCTTCAAATGTGGAAGTTAAAGTATCATTTCATTTTGTTGAAAAAACTCAAAACATCCGGAAGGACCCATAAACTCCTATGTCATGTTACAGTTGCTTGAAGAGCATGTACCACATGTATTTCTTCTAATATAAATAAACACCTTAAAAAGCCCTGTCATACAGGCAGAAAGAAAATTAAGTACTCATTAAGATGACGTCCAGAAGTTAAGTTGACCCCATTGCATTCTTCAGTTTTTCTGGAATGAACAGGAGGTGACGTGGGTGATTGACATTGTTCCATTGGCTACACTTACTCCAGACAGCGGTTCTAAGCAGACACAGAAGACCTGGCCGTGATGAGCAAGAAAAGGCAGTCAGATGCTGATTCCATGTCCAGAAATGGCCAAACTCTTAAGTTACCACAAGAACCAATCAAAGAAAATAGAATTAGAGAGCTTTGTGCCAAGTAACTTATTCGTAGGAAGTGAATGCTAGTAGTTCTCTCCAAGATAGTAACATTTGATACATAACACTGGCAAAAATGATTAGCACCTAGAAAGTTTAATTGGAAACTCATGCTTAAAGCCTAATTTTTAAAAGTTTATTAAAATCACAGGATGAAATATTAATCTTAATTTCCAGGGGAATATACATTGACATAATCACTCTCCTTTACACTGAGTATTAAAATTGCACTACAAGATCCAGTTCTCATTAACTGCAATGATATCGACACTTCACAAAAATAATCTCAAAGGACTTTGGTTGCAAGGCCCCCCTTCTGCGGGCCGGGCTAGCAGATGATGGGGAATGCTAGCCACTACACTGCTAGGAATCAAATCATTTGCTTGGATGATGGTTTCCTTTTTACATATTTTTGCTGGCAATTCACGTCATCATTTTTGTGATTTAAGGAGTTTATTTTTTAGTCTATAATAAAGTGATAAATTACTGCTCTCATGATTCATATTATTCACCAGCACATGTCTATGATCCCTGTTGCCATTCATTGTGGAAGGAGAATTAGAGTGGTATCAGAAAGCCCAGCTGGAACTTCTCAAGAGTATGATCTGACTTAAGTCTGTTTCCTCTTGTGTAGAAGAGGATATTTGCCCAGCTATTCTGCAAAGCTGTTTGAGACTGAAGTATGATAACGTTGGTTAGGTGATCTTAGGACCGCCCACAGCTGTTTGGAATGTGATGAGGTGTGATAGAGTAGAAAAGCACAGGTCAAAGGCTGGGCTCCAGTAATGGCAGGGGCCACTGAGGAGTCTTAAAGAATTCTGTGAGAAATGTATTTCTTTGAGCCTTAACTTTCCTCTCTCTCTTTTTCTATGCATCATCTATCGATCCATCCATCCAATGACTCATCCATCCATCCATCCAAGCATCTATCCATCCAACCATCCACACATACATATAAATATAATTATGAGGGAGATTAAAAGTATTAAATGGCTTTTATTGTGAACCTAGGGGCTCAATAAATAAATATTAGTTTATCCTATATTAGTCCTAGCCCACCTGCAAAATACCTGAAGAAGGAAAGTGTAAAATTCCAAGCAGTTCACTTCATTTCAACCAATTATTTTTGAGACATATTAAGTGTTACATGTCATTACTAAACATATTTGCTTCTAGGTGTTTCCTGCTTTATTTTATCTTCCTTTATGTAGTAATTTAATAGTATCTTACAGCAGTATTATTCATAATAACTCAAAACAGGAAGTAACCTAGATGACCGTCAACTGATGAACAGCTAAATATGTGTGGCTTATGCGTAAAATGGTAGGCTATTCAGAAATAAAAGTATTGACATGTGCAGCAACATGGATGCACCTTGGAAACATGAGTGAAAGAAACCTGTCACAAAAGACCACATGTTGTTATGATTCCATTTATATGAAAAGTCCAGGATTGACAAATACATAGAGACAGAAAATAGGGCTAGTGGCTGCCAGAGATTTGGAGGAGGAGGGAACAAAAGAATGACTTCTAGTGGGTTTGGGATTCCCTTTGGAGGTGATGAAAATGTCCTAAAATTGACTGTGTTGAAAATTCCACCTCTCCCTGAATATATTAAATACTGTGGGTTTGTCCACTTTAATAGGTGAATTACATGGTATGTGTACTGTATCTTAATAAAGCTGTTACAAAACAAAAAAGACTGTGCAGGCATAATATGCTCAAAACAATGGAATTCACCTTCAAGATTTCTGCCGCATATCCTTTGTTGCAAAGGAAGGTACTGTAGTAACAACTATTTAATTGTTCCATAGTTAAGTGAGGGGACAGTAGTGTAAATGTTGTCACTTCCTTTCCTCAGTGGCTACTAAAAATCTTTAGCTGAGTGGAGACAACAGCTTGTACAAAATTAGACTCCTCTAATTAACCCTGAATCATGTTGATAGGTACAATTTTATTGTTTCAGGTCCTAAATCTAGTACAGTCCTATGTGACCCTTCGAGTGCCTCTGTATGTTTCCTACGTGTTCCATTCTCCTGTTGGGGTAGGAGGCTGGCAACATTTTGACTTGAAGTCAGAGCTCCGTCTGACTTTTGTGTATGACACTGCCATCTTGTGGAATGATGGAATCGGCAGCCCACCAGAAGCGGAACTCCAAGGTGGGTTAATAATTTGGAAAACTTGTTTTCTTACCCATTTGAATTACTTAAGAGGAATTTTTACTCTAGCTTAAACTACTGGAAGTGACCTTCACTATACTTTATATTAAATATTTTAAGATTATTTCGTCATGGAAAAACTAAATCGTATCAATCCTCCAAATTTTGCGTAATATGTGCCTGCTAAATATAACATATATATTTCATGGATATTTAATCCTTACAGTTCATTTTACAGTCAACATGTTTCCTAGATTCTAGAAAATGCATAGAGGAAGTTCCAGTTGAACATAAGAAATGGCACCTCTTGGCTCAGGGAGTGCCTGGGTGGCTCAGTTGTTTACGTGTCTGAGTCTTGATCTCAACTCAGGTCTTGATCTCAGGGTTGTAAGTTCAAGTCCTTGTTGGGCTCCATGTGGGGCATGGAAAAGAGAAAGAAAGAGAGAGAGAGAAAGAAAGAAAGAGAGAAAGAAAGAAAGAAAGAAAGAAAGAAAGAAAGAAAGAAAGATAGATGGAGGGAGGAAGAGAGGGGAAGGAAGGAAGGGAGGAAGGAGAGATATCTTGGATCCTCGTTCTGGCTCCACAACTAACTAGCTGTGTGATCTTGAACATACTCCTTAACCTTTGTGGCACTCAGTTTCTTCTGAAAGATAAGCCAGACCTCCAGTATTCTTTTTATTTTAAAATTCTATTATTCTATGATATTTTAGCTGAATGTTTTGGAACAGTGTAATAAGTACAACTACCTCCTGAGCCCATAAGCATCTGCAAATCTTTCTTTCAGTCTCCACGTCAGAAGTATAATTCAAAGTCCACAAGCATAAAGCTAATTATCTATTAGTAGGATGAGTACTGTTGCTTTTCAGGCCCATGCTGCTATTCTGGTTCCATGCCTATCTGAGCATCATGCCTGCATTACTTACTATGAGCCAGGAGGAAAGTACTATTGACAGTGCATCAAAATTTGCTACCTTAAGCACAGTAAAATCGCCTTAAAGCTATGTGGTAGGTAATATGTGCACCCTGAGTGGTCATTCCAGGTTATTTTACATTTTCATGTTTTAATTCTGTATTTTGCCTTAGAAAATGTATATTTAAGTACATTTTAATGTGGATCCATGCAAGGGTTCTCAAGTATTACATGAGGATCTCATGTTTCCTTCTTCCCTTTTAGAAAAAAAATTTTTAATGTTTTTATTTTATCTTTGAGAGAGAGAGACAGTGTGAGCCAGGGAGGGGCAGAGAGAGGAGACACAGAATCTGAAGTAGGCTCCAGGTTTCTGAGCTGTCGGCACAGAGCCTGATGCGGGCCTCGAACTCAAGGACCATGAGATCATGACCTAAGCCGAAGTCTCAGTATCTGGAACAAACGACCTCAACCGACTGAGCCACCCAGGAGTTTCCTTCTTCTATCTGGAACCAACTTTGGTCACACTGCTAACAGTCTTGGAAAAGCTCCGGAGTTTTTATTAAGCCCGTAAAATTCGGAATCATTCTGGAGAACACAAACCCACTTCTGTGTCCAAATCTTCAACATTTCACAATTTTACTGTGTCCCTCAATTTACAGCTTCATTTATGTAGACTAATGCTTTTGGCGGGGGGGGAATCTTGGTCTGTTATAATCAATCTGTATATTTCATAGTGACCTCTCTCAACGTTCCCTGATTCTATTTTGCCTCCCTTCTAGACATCTTTTCTTGTCAGAAAACAAAACAAAACAAAACAAAACAAAATACTTTTGCATCTCTTATCACTCAGAATTCTTCCGATAGCACCCCTTGGCTAGAATGTTTAAAGATGAGACCGTTCTGACTTCAAATTTGGAAGAAATCCTGCCCATCAGAAGTCCCAGGTCACCCATATTTCCATTCTTGCGCACTCTCCCCATGTAGGTTCTCTCTATCCCACCAGCATGCGCATCGGCGAAGAGGGGCGCTTGGTCGTGAACTTCAAGACGGAGGCTCAGTTCCACGGCTTGTTTGTACTCTCCCATCCGGGTAAGCCCTGTAATCCACTAACAGGCATGCCCTAGACAGCAGGATACAGATTTCCCACACCCACAAGTACCGTGTTTCAGCATGCTTCCGTGGGAGGTCTGAAACCCTACTTTCAAATGAATTATCACTGTGACTTACCTGCAGGGTGCCTGAGAATTGCTCAGCTCCCTCTCATCAGCTACATAGTCATCATTATGTACGTAGATTTTTGGAGAAAACGCAAAAGGGTTAAAGTAAATTTAAAAGAAAATTCTGAGTTCATTTTTGGTGGAGTCTGCCTTGGATAAAGAGCCTAGCAACAACAATCCCCTTCTGTGCTTCAATTCTGTTGTATGAGAAGTGGAATTTTAGGTTGTTTGTTCGGCGAGCCCTTCTCCGTTCACAATTATTTTCTAGACACTGTAAGAAACCTTTGTAACAGAGGCAGAAGTGGCACTTCAGCGTGATACTTACATTTCAGACATGGTAACTAATTATCTTTAATAAGGATTGGCTATGTCATTTTACTAACTGTGACAGCAGATTGTGGTTTGAATATCAACGAGGAGGCAGTCACTGAAATCTTATGTCCAGGCCTTTTTTTTTTTTTTTTTTTATAAAGGACATTTCATTAGACATCTTTTTTAATTTGATTCTCCATATCACTAAATTGGTTTTGCGTATTGTCCCTTTGACAACTGTTGTCAGATTGGAAGGGGAAAATAGTTCACTTACTGTCTTCTCCTTCCTTCCTTTTTCTGGGTTTGAGCTCTAAACAAAGGAGAGAATAGGGCTGAAATTCAGAAGAGAAAGAGGGTTCATTGTAGTTTTATGAGACTGAGCCTCAAGAAAAACAGACCCAAAAAGGCTCATTTTGCTTGATTATAATTGACAGTTCTGGAAAATAAAATTTCTTGGTCTTTACAGGTCCCTTCCACATGTCTACCTTTCTAATAAACTGAATCTTTGTTTAGACACAATTACAGACAATCTAAGTAAAATTAGATTCCACTTATAAATTGGGTTTTCCCGGCTGTGTGGATGCTAATAGACGAAAACTCAGCTCATAGCCCCGGTGCACAATAAATGCATTCACATCAGCTTTTATTGCCCTGCTGCCTCTCCCTGGAAAGTAGCCCTGAACTGTTGGAGCACAATTATCTGCACAAGTATCTCTTGATAGAATTATAAAGTGGAAAAAGGCACTGAATTAGGAATCAGAGGGCACACATCCCAGCTGTGTGATCTTGGGAGAGTCACCATAATCAGTCTCAGCCCGGTTTCTCGGGGACAAAATGAGGACAATTATACCAACACTGTGACTTTGAAAGCTTGGTGTTAAAAGCAAGCAATGTACGATAAGTTACTTTGAAAACTCTAATGTGTTATGTACTCTTTTAACTACTATACCATTATTATAATGGCACTTTTCTAGCATCCTTCACGAGCTCAATGATCATGTCGGCTGACCATCCAGGCCTGACCTTTTCGCTGCGCCTCATAAGGAGTGAACCCACCTATAACCAGCCAGTACAGCAATGGAGCTTTGTCTCTGACTTTGCCGTAAGTGACTCAGGCTCTTACTTAAGTTTGCTTTTCTGCTGCCTTTGATTACACCTCAGATTCTTTTTTTTTTTTTTTTTAATGTAGTTTATTGTCAAGTTGGCTAACATACAGTGTGTACAGCGTGCTCTTGGTTTGGGGGGTAGATTCCCATGGTCCGTCGCTTCCATGCAATACCCGGTGCTCATCCCCAACGAGTGCCTTCCTCAATGCCCGTCACCCATTTTCCCCTCTCCCCCGCACCACCCCCCCATCAACCCTGTTTGTTCTCTGTATTTAAGAATCTCTTACGGTTGGCCTCCACCTCAGATTTCTACATGAAGAACATAAACGTCCTCTCTTCTCCTCAAAGGTGCGTGACTATTCGGGGACCTACACCGTAAAGCTGCTGCCATGCACCATTCCATCGAATCAAGAGTACCGCCTGCCAGTCACCTGCAACCCCAGAGAGCCTGTCGCCTTTGACCTTGACATACGGTTCCAACAGGTGTGCCTTTTGGAGTTATTTTCCCCTGACTTACAGAATCCCATTTTATTAAGGTCACGGTCTTCTCAGTAAAAACAAATAAATAAATCCACCCAATGACTTTAATTCTCACATGCTGAGAAAAAAGGAAGTCAGACAAGAAGGAAGCAAGAAAGGAAGGAAAGAGGAAAGAACTGCCCTTTATCTGGCATTGGTTCAGGGTATGCAACTCAGAGTTGAAGAGTATGCAAGGGTTGGGGCGCCTGGGTGGCTCAGTCGGTTGAGCGTCCGACTTCAGCTCAGGTCATGATTTCACCGTTTGTGAGTTCAAGACCCACTTCAGGCTCTGGACTGACAGATTGGGGTCTGCTTCTAATTCTCTGTCTCCCTCTCTCTCTGCCCCTCCCCCGCTCGCACAAGCTTTCCCTCTCCCTCTCTCTCCCTCTCTTTCTCTCTCTCTTTCAAAAATAAATAAACATTAAAATTTTTTAAAAAGTATAGAAGGGGTTTTTTTTGTTTGTTTTTTGTTTTTGTTTTTCTTATGTGATCTTGTCTCCTCCTGGAGTTTGCTGCCTTGAGGGCTGAGAATTTTCCCAAGAGTTCTTCTGCACTTCTTTATCTTATTCTTGATCTTCAAGGAAAGTAAATATCCTATAGTTCATGCCACCTCAAAGGGCCTGACTGCCATTATATATTAAAAGACAGGTGATGGCACTTTTTGTCCAAGAACTTCTATTAAGAGCTGGCCTTCCACTGACCTTGATATACCCTGTTACACCAATGGAAAAGAACTCAAGCAGTGCTATTTAGTCCCAGCCAAAAAATTTCACTTCACCAGGTCTGCCTTCTCAAGAAAGACAGAGCCAGTGTTATAATTCCCTTCATTAGTTTGGTTGGGTGTGAAAATCGCAGTGCAGGCTTTAGGACTCCGCAGGTCCATGTACACAGCTGTGTGCGTGTGTGTGTGTGTGTGTGTGTGTGTGTGTGTGTGTGTGAATAATGTATTTATGCACCACCAGAACAATCAACAACACGTAAAAGGGCTTTTACGCTTGGTTTCAGGTCAGCGACCCGGTAGCAGCTGAGTTTAGCTTGAACACCCAAATGTACCTACTCTCCAAGAAGAGTCTCTGGTTGTCTGATGGATCCATGGGATTTGGGCAAGAGAGTGATGTCGCCTTTGCAGAAGGTATCATTTCACAAGGGGGACACCTGCTCTGTTTGCCATTGCATCTGTTGGGCTTTGCTCTCTTGGGATCATGTTTGAGAGGGGAAATTGTAACCCCTGCTATTGTTATGAGAATATCACTGGGTCTTTGCCACTCTGACAGGGATGGGGTAGGGCCACTGAAATTGTATCTATGTTATTGGATGGTTTTTCTTCTGGGGAAATAAAGAATTTATTTCTATGTCCCTTACCTAAGTGACTTTTGGAACAAATCTAGGTTTGTTTTCTTCAGTCTTTTCTCAAGGTGCATAGACTCAAATCCTACAGCTCCTTGAGATTATAAATGCCTCATGGGCAAGGGTTATGGCTGCCTTGTTCAGTGATGTCTTTCTAACACCTAGCAAAATGCCTAACATGCATGGCAGGAGTTTAGTACTAGCTGTGAAAAAGATGATTGAATACCAGGGAATTTCCCTAAACTCTCTTTCAAAATCAAATAAAGCTAACCCAGCTTTTTTATCGATATTCCTTTTTTATAGACTTTATTAGTCTGCGTCTTGGCAAGTAATTTGTTTATCTAAAGCAGGTTTTAGCCACAGTGGAATATTATGAATATTAAACCATAGGCCAAGCCTGGAGGTTCTTCCTGCTACCGGTCGAGCACGGGAGGGTCAATAAATCTTCAGCCACATGTAGTCAGTTCTCAAAGTGGTGTTAGCCTGGGAGCGTGTGAGATCCTGAAGGTCTTCCAATATTCGATGCCAGATTAGGAAAAGAAGGAAATACCCTCTGGTGGCATTCCTGTCACAAATTATTTGCAGTGTCACATAGACACATTTTACCATGTAACAGAAATAACATTGCCACGTCTCTGTTTCAGGTGATATAATTTATGGTCGAGTCATGGTAGATCCTGTCCAGAATCTAGGTGATTCCTTTTACTGCAGCATTGAGAAGGTGTTCCTGTGCACTGGAGCTGATGGCTATGTTCCCAAATATAGTCCCACGAATGCAGAATATGGCTGCTTAGCTGATTCTCCTTCGCTCCTGTATAGATTTAAAATTGTGGTAAGTGCTTTGACCCAAACAATGAACTAGGTAGACACTCAAAGTCAAGTGTTTTTGCCTGATGTTTAAAAACAATAGCATCTTTTCAAATGAAACCAAATGGTGACATTTTATACTTATACTTGCACAAAACTAAACGAAAGAAACACTCTGTACTTGCAAAAGTTGTCATTAGCTACAGCACTCCTCATTCTCTTGTTGCTTAAAGGACAAAGCTCAGCCAGAGACACAAGCCACCAGTTTTGGAAATGTCCTGTTTAATGCCAGACTAGCAGTGGATGACCCTGAAGCTGTTCTCTTAGTGAATCAGCCTGGATCCGATGGGTTTAAAGTCGACTCAACAGCACTCTTTCAGGTGGGCCAGTAACAAGCCACTTACAACAGTTCCACGAGGACATTCAGGTTACTTAATATCAGAATGCCCCAGATGTCTTCTATTAAATGGCAGTGACAGTAATGTTGCAGAAGTCATAGTAACATCGAATAAGGTAAGGTAGGTAAGCCCCACAGGACCATATTGAGCACATGGTGGGCATTCTGTAAACTCCCATTGTTATTTTTATTAATGCCTCAACATTACTTTAGGTCCCTGTGTAAAGAAGACCCTCATTCAGCCCAGAATATAAATCTAAGTCTGATGGTTGTGAACTCTGCTTTTCTTCTTCAAAACTTCCTTCCTGTCGACTTTCCACGACCATCTTTATTAGAGTGACCTTGTATGAAACGCTGGATTCCAAAAAACAAGTGGGCGCTGCTCATAAATCTCCACTCCCAAAGACTTTATAAACTAGGACAGGATGTCCTAACCTAGAGGTAGATGGTAAAGAGACCCACATGACCGTAACACTGAGCAGACAATTGAGAAAAATTCAGAGATGTGTTCCCACTGTGAATCCTTGGGGGATCAAGTACACCTTTTAGGAAATTTACTGAAAATTGTCCAGACAGGATGGGCTGCAGAAACACATTATCTTTATTCAACCCTAAAGGAAGAATCTTAAGGAAGTATATTTGTTGTTCTGAGTACTTTTTTAAAATTGTTTTTACTGTTAACACTCAAAGCATTTGACCCCTTCTAAATCCTGAAAGTTTCAAAAAACCATCAGAAAATCCCTTCTTTTCACAGGCCCTGGAAAAGCAGAAAGACTGACCTCTTCTACGGTCTTGTGTGTAAATATGCAGCAAGACAAATCGGACACGAGTCCTGAGGGTCAGAAGGTCTGAGTTCTAGTCCTGCCTCTGCCACTAACTAGTTGAGGGACACAAGCAAGTTACTGCTGTGCATTCTTGTTTACTCGTTGTTGAGATGAATAAGTTAAGCTGTGTGATATTTAAAGCTCTTTACAGCTCTGACGTTCAATGGCTACAAGTCACAGATGACCAAATACTTACCGGCACACCCTCCCTCAAAAGTTGCACAAAATATTTGAGAGTGCTCTACACAAAGCCTTGTACGTACTATACATGCAAAAATAGTAGATTCCAGGGCGCCTGGGTGGCTCAGTTAGATAAGCTTCCGACTTCAGCTCAGGTCATGATCTCACGGTTCGTGGGTTCAAGCCCCACGTCGGGCTCTGTGCTGACAGCTCAGAGCCTGGAGACTACTTGGGATTCTATGCCTCCCTCCCTCTCTCTCTGTCCCTCCCCTGCTCGCATTCATCAGATCTCTCTCTCTCTCTCTCTCAAGAATATAAACATTAAAAAAATTTTTTTGAAAGAGTAGATTCCTTTTTGCAGACTAAAGTCTATTATCAGTTACTGTCTGTGCCATTAACTTCTCTTGCAAAAGTCATGCAGTAGGTTGGTATGGTATTTAATTTTCTAACAAACAGAGCTGTGTTTTCTAGGTGGCTCTGGGCCGAGAGTGGTACATACACACCATCTACACAGTAAGATCGAGAGACAGCGCCAATCGAGGTATTGGCAAAAGAAGCGTGGAGTACCAGCACCACTCTTTGGTGAGTTCAGGGAAGCCCCGGGCAGGTACCAAAGGCCGGAAGAAGAGGGAGATGAGGAGCCCACCCCCGCTGGCCTGGGAAATAGGTGCTGAAAACAACCGGGGAACAAACATCCAGCACGTCGCCCTGGACCGCACCAGCAAGAAGCAGATCCCCCGAGGGAGAGTTCCTCCTGACGGCGTCCTCCCCTGGGAGCTCAACCCTCCCAGCTCTGAGGTCAGCCTGGTCACGGTGGTGGGAGGCATCGCCGTGGGGTTACTCACCCTCTGCCTTGCCGCCATCACAGTGACGATGTGCCAGAGCAAGAAGGGCGCCCGGAGAAAGGACGCCCTGAAGGGCTCGGGCAGCAGCAAGCCCATGATGCCCCCACAGAGCCACCACAACGACAGCTCAGAGGTTTGATGACCGCAGGTGGATTCAGCCTTTTCCTCAAGTGCCTCGGAAAGACGATAGAAACCCAAATGCTTCCGTCAACAGCAGAGCTTTGGGGACTTCTGCTACGAAGCTGCTCAGAGGACCTGACCGGACTACTGAACTTGGATTTGAATTCTGTCTACTCTTTCATGCGTCACAGAACAAATTCAGACCACAGACCGCATCTTTCTTCTTGCCCAAAAGGCATCCTACGCAGAGCCAGCGATGGACCGCCAGGGATGTACTTCACATTTAGGCATTTTCTCCACACAGCGGAGACAAATCTATTCAGAGGTGCTACAGACTCCGTCAGAAGTTTAAGAGGAGTCTATTGTTGCTATGTTAGTCTGAACCTTGAAGGTGCAATTATCACATCATTTATTCACTGCCTAACAGTGTATTACTAGGACGGTTTAATTGCGAGTCTGAAAGGATGATAAACACACTGTTTATTATGACAAGTTTTCTAACAGGCGAAGACGGCACAGAAGTATGACCAGGGATAGCTCAACCCATAATTCACCTCTTCTGCTACATGGGAGGGAATGGAAGGAAAGAGAGAGGGAAGTAACTGACTAGTTTGGATTTGAATTATGGTGTCCTTGTTTTATTTGCTTATTTAATTTTAAATTAAACCAAAGAATGTGTTCCATCTGGAAGAGATTGTTGAAGAAAGACTTTGCTGTTCTATAGTGAGAAGTAGTCGAGTTCTTGCATGGTAGGATACCTAATTGGTGCTCAGCATTTGCGGGAAATGAGAGGGTTGGTGGCGTTTGGATGATGAAGAAATGCTATAGCGTTAGATTTGCATTTGTAAGACAATGTTCTCTAAGAACTGAGCCTAGATATTTGCAGTATTGAACCCACAGATGATAATGAAAAATATCATTACAGGTGGTGGAGGGAGAAAGTGATATTTATTAGCATAACGTGTTTAACCAAAGTGCCTCTATACACATTTTATAGAACATTTTGCCAGATGACACCTGAGGTTAACCCTCAGAGTAGCACAATCACATAACAATGTCCAGAACTCGAACTGGCCATAGGACATTTCATTAACTTGCTAATCAGCATCTGCCCTAAGCCAGGGGACTCTCTGCCGCTGTCATTCCAGAGGTGGTCTTGGAGGTGCCTTCTTCTTCTTTGATCCAGGAGGAGAGTAGCATTCTGTGACATCTGCAATTTAGGGAGCTGATGCAGTGCGATCCCTGAGTATCTGAAAATGTAATGCTTGACACCGCTTACAGTGTTAAAAACCAAGAAACATAGGGAGCTTCCTTGGCAAGGCTCCTGTCGCCTTTCTGGAAAAAAAAAAAATGTGCTTTTACCAAATGGCAGAGATTTCGGTTGGAAAGGGAAGGAAAATGTCAGTGGTCTCATGACCAATCTTCCAAAAGCTAGTAAATGTATTTCAAGCAAAAAGAAGGTCGGGAGAAAAAGAACCGTGCCTAAAGACTAACCAACCCTCAAATGTCGCCTGGAATCCCCTTTCACTTGCATCCATAGCCTGGCCACACTGGACATCTAGTGGAATGGATCTTACCTGGTGTCTGTGAGCACCAACCATCTCTTTATTGGAAAGAAAAAAAAAGAATCTACACTGGTGCTGAGAGAGAGAGGTGAAAAGTGTCTGATACTCGCCTCTCTTCTTTTGGGCAGCTCTGCACTTGACATTCAAAGTCTTTCAAAGAACATGGTGGACCGTAGTCCCCTTCCATTGGGGAATTTACAAATATCACCTCTTACTCAAAGGTGTCCCCCCACCCTGGGACTTACATAAAGTACTGGATGGCCCAGGAGTTCAGTTGTCAAATAAACATCAGTGCTTTCTTAATTGTCCCCTTTCCCTTTGCTTCGCATTCTGGCAGATGCTTGGCTACTTCTTCAGTTATCTCGTAACTAGTATAGGCATAAGCATGAATGACGCAGCTCCAAATGTGTGGACTTCTCATGACTTAGCATGGGGTTCAATTCACTTAGATAGCGAGAGCAGGTACCCTCAATTGACCTTATGCTACTTCGGTAGCTTGGGTGCTTCAGAGCCTACCGTGCGGTCTTGGGCGTCTCTGTCACTGAGTGTAGTAATTAGCGAAGCATCGTTACAACATGTCTGTTTTGAGCCTTTGGGCCACACTGGCTTTGTACCAAACTTCACTCCGCAATTAGTTTTTCTAGTGAGATTGCCATATATAAATTGGAGAGTTTATAAAATACAGAACATGTCCATCCTTTCCTAATAAAGAAGTTTCTTCCTCTCCACCCATTTCCTTCTCTCTTTCTCTCCCTTTCTGTCTTCTTCTTTTCCTTCCTCCCCTTGAAAACAGAGAGTCTGTGGGAAGTAGGCAGATACAGCTTTCTCAAGTATAAAGTGTTTGGATTTCGGCATTATTTCTTTTGTATCTATTCACTTAATATGTGATTTAATATACATTAATCATAAAAACTCTTTTTAGTGGAAGAAAGAATCAGGCAAAATGCTTTATTGTTCAATAAAGCAGACCCTTTTTTTCAATATGTTGTTTTTAGAGAATTATGCTGGTATTATCAGATCCAATTACATAAAATAACTTCCCATAGACAACAGGATGTAGCTATAATAGCTCCTTATATGCTCAGTAGCTTCTGACCCTAATTAAAACAAGATTTTCTTGATGTTGCATAGTAAACCCAAAACACAAATATATATATATATATATATAGAGAGAGAGAGAGAGAGAGCCTTAGTAGCTCCCCTAGCATATGAACTATGAAGCATTAAAATACGTAATTATGTTTTAATCATGGTTTTACTTATTCCAGTTCATTCCCTCTGTTAACATTTACTAAATGCTTTCCTAGAATTAGCCACTTTGAGAGATTACACAGAAACCAAGATATCCTCCCTGCTCTCAGGCAGGTTATGCTCAAATGTGGCATTTCTCTTAGTCTAAAGGAATCAAGATTTACATTAGGTCCTCCCCTGGACCAGGAACACACCAGGCGTATCTGTGAACCACAATTTAAAAATCTCTCCAGAGCGCAGACAGTGGCTCTAATCTTTTTCATCTGAAAGAACCCCACATGTTATAGATCATTCTGCTTGTGGACCTCATGCAAAATGTCTCAGATCAATAATTTAATGGAATTTCCCTTCAGAAATCTACACAGAGAAGGTACGTTGCAGGGATGTGGATAGCCCTGTATATCCTTTTCCTCTGAATGGAAGACATGCCTACTTTATTCCAAGAATGGCATATAACACATAAACTCTTGTTCCAGTCCGTGAATATCCCCAATACCTCCTGAAGTGCACCCTCCCACAAGCCTCCACAATGTTTGAATAGTATGAGTAAAGATCAACTGAAATTCTGCCATGCTACTGCATAGCATTTGTGATAAGAAGGACGGATTCTAGGCTCAATACGAAGGGATTTAGTTCTATAAGCAGCAAACAACTTTATCAAGTTCTCTTACCTCTAAGTCTTTCCCAGGGAACCGACTCCAAGGTCCATTTTAAAAATGGAAATGGAGGGGCGCCTGGGTGGCTCAGTCGGTTAAGCGTCTGACTTCAACTCAGGTCATGATCTCATGGCTTGTGGGTTCGTGCCCGACGGCGGGCTCTGTGTTGACAGCTCAGAGCCTTGAGCCTGCTTCAGATTCTGTGTCTCCCTCCCTCTCTGCCCCTCCCCTGCTCATGCTCTCTCTTTCAAAAATAATTAAACATTAAAAGAAATAATAAAAAGAAATAAAAATAAAAATGAAAATGGACCTGTATGAGAATCATGGAGTCTTTCCTCGTACAAATTGGTGCTAAGGGTTAAAATAGTCCTAGATTGAGAAATGATAAAGTAGCAATAACAGCAGAATGTAATGACATTTAGATTTTTGAAGTTGGAAATTTGATTTCTGCTACTCTTTTGAAAATATCTATTTAGTTTTGGCTGAGAAACCAATTTAGTCCTTTAAAAAGAAAAAGAAGAAAATATCTCTAAAGATGCAAATGTTTTACAAATTTGAAATTTACATAATTGTATTCATTTGAAAACAAGTGAGCTATGATTCTTTGAACAGCTTTCATCTCTTGTAGCCATGATAGCAATAACAAAAGGAAGAAAACAGGTGTCTTTACTAACCCTAGGGCAAACGATGAATAGGGCTTAAATGTTCAATCAGTCCCACTGCAATGCCTCAGAAATGTGCGAGTTGGCAGGAAACTATAAATACTACTATTATCTTGCACACACACAGCCACATGTGCATCTAAAAACAACCAAAGATCTCATTTCTAGAAAAAAAGATGGCCCTAACTACAGTTTGAACTGAAATGGTTCACATGGAGATTTTCGAGAAGGTCAACAGAATGGTTATTTGTATAAACATACTATTGTGGGAAGTTTCTTGGACATTAGTTCAAAGGTTGATGTGTTTCCTTAAGATTTTTTCCTGGTATTGATTCTAGTGTTGCCTGGTAAAGATATAAACACTTTCAGAAAATATTATCTATAGGTTCAGAGTTTCTCTCACTGTCTAGTTCTCCTTGTTGCCATGTCCTTTGATGTTAAGAACAAAAGACAGATTTTGGTAGTTATTTTGATTTTAATAAGGCATTTAAACATAGAAGTTCATGGTATTTTCTATAGTTTTTTTTACCAGAAAGATTATACAGAAAGTTTTTAAGTAAAGAATGCTGATTCCCTCTTGAACTAAAGTTGATAAAACAAACTCTACTAACGTCAGCCTCATTCTGATTTAATTTTATTGGGGGAAAAAATCAGAATATTGAATTTGCAAACTTTTAAATCGTGTTGCTTTCTTATCTTTCAAGTACATTTTATTACTTTTTCCCTGATATTTGTTTGTGTGTGGTTTTTTTTTAGTATTGTGTTTTAGTAAAAATCAACATTAAAAAAAAAAAACTTGCTCTAGCAATGACATCTACTCCTTCCTTCCTTGGTTCCTTCCTTCCTTCCTTCCTTCCCTCCTTCCTTCCTTCCTTCCCTCCTTCCTTGGTTCCTTTCTTCATGGACTAGGGTTTTTTTCTTCCTCTGAGATTTGTTTATCATTCTTCCTGCAATGCTTCCCTTTTAGTTTTGAAACCATTGCCATTTTCACTACGTAATTAACATATTCTTATCCATCCGAAAGCTAGTAGGTGAGCATAAGACATGTGCACTGTCCTTTGTTTATAAAATGTTAAGGCTTTTGGATGAAGGAAAGAACTCCCTTCAAAAGATCAAAAGCATCATATTGAATAATGTGATGACAATCTGTGCTTTGATTCTCTCAGGAAAGGTTCAACACTGACATTTAAGATATTTTAAAAGATCCCTTTAAGGATCTGATTGAGTAAAAATAAAAGGCCAGAGATCACATATATGAGGCTGTTTTGGATGACTGAATACTTTGCAACGAAATAAATGGCAAAACAAAAATACTGTTAAAATGTTAACGGCATTGAAGTGTTTTAAATTGTAATTATTAAACCACAGTGTTCTTTTTACAAGGAGCCAGATGTTGCCTACACCAACTACACGATCCTTTGAATACTCTAAGTGAACTTCTACTCCTGGTATTTATTTTTCCAATGTTTGGATCGTCCTTTCATAAGAATTGTCAGTATTGCGCCTTAGAAAAGAAGAAAGTAAAGACAGAGATGTAAATTTTTAAGAACTAACCTTAATGATAAAAAGCATGATAATATAAATCACTTAAAATATAGAAAAGCAATTACTGGTGAGAATAAAAGATCATTTCTGTAAGGGCCAAAATAAGCATATTACAAAAAGAAGTACAAAGCAGAGTCTGATTCTGTCGTTTCAGGAGTTCAAGTTTTTGGCAAGGTATTTTTAAGCCCATTTGCCTATAAAAGGAAACTTCAGCCTGGACAAGGAGTTGTGTGTTTTATAATTGTATTAAGTGCCTGCTTCCTTCCCCAAAGCCCTCCAGAGCACTCAGTAAATTTATATTTATCCAGCCACTGAGCAGCATATCTGTGTGTGATGGAGTTATTTGCAGAACTTAACAGCCTTTGTGATTTTCCCATGGGAACTCTTCAAAAGCTAACGGGGGTCTAGTTTTTTTGTTTATTTACTGGGATACTTCATATTTGCTGGATATCGAAACTTATCCTGGGAAACCAATTATGCAAATAATCTGGAGCCATTCAGCCTTCAATCCGTGTCTAAAATAATCCTTGCTGCCACTTGTGTTTCATAACTACCACTGTTTTCCATCAAAACACATCACATGTTTCATATAAATAAAGCCCATATAAAAATAAATGTGTTAAAATGGTCAAATGATTGTGGTTCATTCTCTGGTTTCAACTTCACTAAAAATCAACGAACTCGTGCAGTCTGCAATGAGTGTCAGTTATTTCCTTCCTGGGTCTGAAGCCTGAGCTCCTGCAGGCTTCCAGACTGGGACATGTGTTCCCACGAATTCTCTGATGCTGATGGAAAAATACAGCCGCTCCTCAGCGGGACCTACCTGCAGGATCTTAGTGCTTATTCACCAGTTGTAGCAGGTGCAGACACAGCCAGAGGCCGCCAGGGGCCATGTATGCTTACAGGAAAGGATATATTTAGGGAACTGACTCTGTCCCAAGGAGCAGGGTGTCTAGATCCTACTACAGTTATGAAGCTGTGCCCAGCTACACTGATAAGGATGAATCAACTGATCGGGTCCATTGCTGAGAGGCTGACAAGGTAGTCTGGTTGCCTTTATGCGAACTTCACTCAAGTCAATGATGATCTGATTTTTGTATGGTCACATTTTTGATATGTGGCCACCAGAATGCAGTACCAAAAAGAAATGCAAAGGCAGCCTCTTAGAGCCATAAGAAGGATTGTGTTGAAGGATTATACTGAAGGATAATCCCAAGAAAAGGGCAAAATACACAAAAGATGGAGTGGAGGGCTGGGGGAAGAAATGGCCATATCGTAGCAGAAAAGCTATGATTGGCCTCAGAAATGATGGATTCAATTCTTCTCCACTATAAATCTTTATTTTATTTTATTTTATTTTATTTTATTTTATTTTAGAGAGAGTGCACAAATGGGGAGGAGGCTGAGGAGGGGACAGAGAGAGAGAATCTTAAGCAGGCTCCATGCTCAGCACAGAGCTTTGACTTGGGGCTAGATCCATGACCCTGGGATCATGACCTGAGCCAAAATCGAGAGTCAGACACTCATCCGACTGAGACACCCACACCCCCCTCCATCTTCACTATAGAAGAAAGCCTGTATGCTAGGAAGTTTCCACACTGCTAGGGACAAATCCTGGCCTTCAAGAAATTGGAAAAGAGGACCAAGGAAGGGAAGGCTCATGATCCAGCCACGCCAGATATTGACAGTGGGAGACAAGATCATGCCATAAAGTCGTAATCACCCCAGAGGGATGCAAACTAAGGGAAAACCCCTCCCTAACCAGTATGAGTGAATGTGGACCTGACTAGGGGGGAGAAGTCATCAGGAGCAGAGTTAGGCCAGTCTGAGCCCTCCCTACCCAACAGCCATGCCAGTAAACTGTGGCAGAGGAAGGTCAATAGCAATTTTTGAAAATCCTACAATAGACTGGAAAGCCTTTCAAGACGTCATGATCTCATCCTAGAAATTTAAATGTGACTAATTGCGAAATGGTTAAAGGTGGTAGAGAAGACAGAGTAAGATTATATCCAAAGGAAGTAGACACGGGTCAGAGACAATGCAGGGTACCAATCAGGGAGAGAACGTTTGGGGAAAGGTGTCTGCAAAAAGAGGGAAAAGTATCTCCCCAGGATTTCCTCAGAGTCCGAAACATACGCTACATTACAACATACAGTAGCTGGGGCCCGATGTGGTTCTGCCACTTTTGATGAGGACAGGAGCCCCTCCCCCCTCCACACCGTCACCACCAGTTGGCTTGAATTCTAAAGAGATCACTACATCGAGAGGCATTGTTATTACCCAAGGGTCGTAAGAGAAGGCCTCAGAGGCAGTGGCATGAATGAAAGAAGTGTTGTTTATAATTTATAGACATGATTTTCTGGGGGTGTGACCTACACAGAGTATGATTTTCAGGGACATTTTATGCACATTAAAACAAGTGTCTGCTCTGTGTAGATAAATTGGAGAAAATACTTTCTCTATGGAGATACTAACCCCAGGCTCATAATTTGGTGTTTTCAAATGGAAGTTTTGTTACTATTCAGATATGACAAGGCCAACGGATCAAGAAACAATTGCCGTTGAAAAGAAAGCACATGATGCTCATAGGCTCCCAAGGGAGACAGCCCATCACACCACAGGAGCCCCACACACGGGAGCACCAGGGTCAGTCATGAGGCGGAGGGAACAAGAGAAAGTATGGGCAAGAGCCTTACTTGTAGTTTTTATGGACAGAAACAGCCAAGGCAGGATAAGCAGGATGAGGTTTAGCTGATTTGAATAATGTTAATGGAGGCTAGAGCATAGTGCTGTCTCTAAAATAATTATTTTGTGTTTATTTTATGTTTGAGATACAGGAGAGAGAGAGAGAGAGAGCGCGCGCGAGCATGAGCAGGGGAGGGGCAGAGAGAGAGGGAGACAGAATCTGGAGCAGACTCCAAGTTCCGAGTTGTCAGCACAGAGCCCGATGCAAGGCTTGAACCCACAAACCGTGAGATCATGACCCCAGCCGAAGTCAAATGTTTAACAGACTGAGCCACCCAGGTGCCCCCTGCTGTCTCTAAATATCCGGTACCTGGCCCTTGGAGGACGGATGGATAGAGTATCCCAGAGTATGAGAGGCAGTTAAAGAAGGTGGTTGGGGTAGGGGCTCTGGATTGCTTGGTTCGCCTATGAAAGGCATTAATCTCTAGGAACTGACCAACCCTTTTTGAATCTGTCTTAGGGGCAGAATTAAAGTAGATTCTATGGGCATCTGGGTGGCTCAGAAGGTTAAGCATCCAACTCTTGATTCTGGATCAGGTCGTGATCTCACGGTTCATGAGTTCAAGCCCTGCATCCGGCTCTGCCCTGACAGCACGGGGTCTGCTTGGGATTCTCTCTTTCTCTCCCTCTCTCTACCCCTCCCCTGCTCATTCTCTCTCTTTCTCTCTCTTTGCCTCGCAAAATAAATAAATAAAATTTAAAAGATGGAAAACGAAAAAGTAGACTCTAGAAGAAGGGCCGGGATTTTTTATCTGGACTCCGTGGTATTTAATTATACCCAAAACCAGAGCACTAAGAACAAAGACTTTCAAAACCAAAGTCAAGTTTTGTGTGAGAGTTTTGTGGGAGGCAAGTCCTGACAAGAAAAAAGAGAGAAGGGTAAAAGCCGACCTATTCTTGTATCAAGGGATTGTGTGAAGGATTAAGACAGACAGACAGAGAGAGAGAGAGAGAGAGAGAGAGAGATGGAGAGAGGCTAGGAGCCTGGGAAGCTGATTAGGTCGGGGGATTACCGCAAGGGCAAAAGAGGCATCTTGCCTCTCCCCTACCGTTGCACATTTAAGACCCAGGAAAGAGATCACCCCTGCAGGAATGCCTGTTCCAAGGTCAGGCACAGCCAAATACACTAAGGGATCCATGTGTGCGATGCCAACGACCCCCAGAAATTGTATTGGCCCAGCATCTGAAGGGCAATCAATGGTCAGAACAGCTGGGGACTCCAGACCCTGCCTGAGCACTGTGTTCAAGGCCACACCACACCATACCTGCTGTCCAAACAGGAAAACCACAGACAGGGGTCACCTGTGCTGGCTTTGATCTTCTTGGGGATTACCGTGGTCTGGGCCTACAGGTAAAGAGATCGGATGCTTCCCTCTCTCCAAGAGGTTGTCTGTATTTCCTCCTTCCAGCCTTGTCCTCCCTTTCAGCTCTGCTCCCCCAGAAGAAAACCAAACTTTACCCTGACCGGGGGCAGGGGTTACTGTATGTTGAATATCGTCTTTGGCATTAGCATTCCGGGAGAGCTCTGACTTTCCCTCATTCTCCTGTACCATTTGCCCCCAGATATACTTCCCTTCAAAGGAGACTTCTTTAGTCGACCCTTAGTAACTGATATAATAAATGACCTACCGCAGTGCCAGAGAATTAATGAGGCTTAGTGCGGGAGGAGCAGAGTAATTTGAGTCTCCCGGAGAGTTTGCGATCACGTCTGCACAGCCCCAGAGATTCTGACACAGCTCCCACACCTCCATTCCCACGCCACGGGGCTGTGCGGTTTGCAAAAGATCTAGGAAGTGAGAGAAACCATGACATTCAGGGAGAACCACTGGTTTAGAGTTTGCCGTACGTTGACTGGAAAGATTGGCATTTTTAGTGCAATCCTGGAAACCAAAGGCAGGGATAATTGCGAGTTTCTGGAACAGGCTAGGAAGAGGTTTTTGCAGTGAGCCCACAGAATGTCCTTGTACAGGGGGAGCCTCCCTCCTCAGGTGTCCCAAGCCTGTGGGTCAGTCTCTGCCCCACTGTTCTTAAGATGTAGGGTCACCAAGTGTCTACCCGGTAGGACTTCACCTACTCGGATTCTGGCCGGTGTGGATGAGCTATGATAGGTTTCTGCTCCCAATTCTTGTCAAAATGCAAGTATTTATCTTCGTAGGAAAAATAGGAGCCCTGGTGAGTTAAAAATGAGTGCTAGAGTTATAGAGTCAGTGGAATCTACTAAAAAAATTTATTAACTGTGAATCGTTCAGAATTCATATCAAGTATGATATGGCTTCATGAAAAAAAGCAAGCTACGAAACCAAAGGTAGAATGGGATCCCTATTTTGCACTTATATGCAGATAATACCTACGTGTGACAGGGGCGCATACGGAGGGGATGTGAGCAGAGATGGGGGTGCGGGGTGGGGGATGTGAGGGTAGGGGGTTATATAAGAAGTATGTTTGCAGTGTGAAAAGGAGTGTGTGCACATGTGTGTGCAAGTTCTCACAGTCCTGGACACAGGAAAAACCTGTTGTGGAGGGGCGCCTGGGTGGCTCAGTCGGTCGAGCGTCCGACTTCAGCTCAGGTCATGATCTCACGGCTCGTGGGTTCGAGCCCCACGTCGGGCTCTGTGCTGACAGCTCAGAGCCTGGAGCCTGTTTCAGATTCTGTGTCTCCCTCTCTCTCTGCCCCTAACCCACTCGCATTCTGTCTCGGTCTCTCTCAAAGATAAATAAACATTAAAAAAAAAAAAACTGTCGTGAACACCCACACTTCCAGAGACAAAAAGGGAATGAGAAGGCTCTATTCGCCCCCCCTCCCCCTCGTACCTCCCCCAAATAAAACTCCGTGATGTTTAAGAGCAAGGACTTTGGAGTCAGACCTAGTTTTAAATCCTAACCCCAGACTAGCTGCAGGATCTGGGGCAAGTTATTTAACCTCTTGACATCCCTTTCCTATCTGCAAAATAAAGATACTTCTTGGCATCCATAAAGGGCTTAGCACACTGTTAGCACATAGCAGACATTCACTAAATGGTAACTAAAAATTCTAGCCCATTGCTCAGAATAGAACTCAAAAGAAAATTGCACCATGGCAACAAAAAGTTTCTGACAAAGCAATTTTTAAAATACATCACATCTATATTCTATTCTGTGGCTTCTTTATGTTTAGCAGGTGTTTTGTGTGTGTGTTTTGTCGTTGTTGTTGTTGTTGGGTTTTTTGGTTTTTTGCTTTGTTTTTTGTTTTCTTGTGTGTTTTTCTGAGGGGGCCAATAGAGTTTACAAACAATTCTTAATGACTGGTGGCTCTTGGGACTAATAATGGAGTGAAAACATGAAGTCCACAGGAAGATGTTCCCCAGTGATTTCAACCAATGGGTTAGATAGGAGCATTCTCATATCTAAACACCATGCCCTGTCCCACCTGTGACAAAGGTGCCAGGCCACTGCGCATTGACTGCCACTCCGGGCAGGGGCACGGGCACCAAGAGAGGGGAGTACAGGCTGCTCTGGGGGTTGGCGATGAGTTTGCAGCTGGGAGCCTCAGTGCCTCTTCCGTCCTTAACGTCCAAATCCATCAGAATTGGGGCACCTGGGTGGCTTAGTCAGTTAAGCGTCTGACTTCAGCTCAGGTCAAGATCTCATGGTTCGTGGGTTTGAGCCCCGCATCGGGCTCTCTGCTGTCAGCATCAAGCCTGCTTTGAAACCTGTGCCCCCTTCTCTCTCTGCCCCTCCCCCGCGTGCACACGCTCTCCCTCTCAAAAATAAATGAACATTTTGTTAAAAATCCATCAGAATTTCAAACATCGTGGGAGTTTGTGGCGATTATTGGAAATTTTACTCGGGAATTATAAAGCAAACATCTCGTGTAAACAGGTGGCCTATGTGACTTTATAAATTATCTAGAGAACGTCCTCAAACCAATCAAAAGTAATGCCGAAATCTTAGTCACAGTCACCCAAGGATTTCTTCCCCTCACTGCAAAAATCTCCCTCCTTAAGTCAGGAAGGCCGGCTAACTGAATACAATAAGGATCATGCTGTTCATGCTCTTGAATAATAAAAGTACACAGCCCTCCTTTTTTTAGCCTCTATGGCATTTCCTCGCTAATGCTATTCCAGCTGGGGAGTCCTCTGCTTCAATAATGTTGGGATTCTCCGCACTTCTACCGCTGAGTTCTTCTGACAGACAGAAACAACTCCCAAAGCAAAGGCTGGCTACAGCCGGGGGACCTCAGGCTCTGTCAGGAACCTTCTTGCGGTCGTTGTAGCTGACACCACCAATGCCCTCCAGGATATTCATGGGCAGAGGAAACACAATGGTGGAATTCTTCTCTGTGGCTACGGTGGTTAAGGTTTGCAGGTAACGCAGCTGCAGGGCTATGGGGGACTCGGCCAGCACCAGGGAGGCTGACTTCAGAGATTTGGAAGCATTCATTTCTCCTTCTGCTGCAAGGACCTAAAGGGACGGAAATACAAACAGTTCAGACATCAAAGTTTACAGGTGTAACTAGTGCTTTCTGCTTCCGGCGGCTGCGGCGGCTGCATAGGGACGCCTCCCTGCCAGCCCCCACTTTCCCACAAGGGTCTCTTCTACTTGCTTCGTTGGTGGGGGTGAGAGTTTCACGTCTTAATGTGATCAGGGGAATATGAAGAGGTTGTGGGAAGCCGGGAGAGACTGTGCAAATTAGGAGTCCCCAGATTTCATGTGCAAACAAAATAAAAGCCCCGACTTTAACTCAAACTAAGAGAAGTCTGAAATTCAAAGCCTCCAACTGGCTTCTTTCTGGGGTTTTCACTTATCCTAGGAGATGTTTTTCTTTTATTCTGTTGTCAGCTTCGTCTCATTCTTACAACGTGAGAACCAACGTTTGAAGCTCTGTCTGCTCTTGACTACAAGTGCCACTCTGATAATACTAGAAGGCTCCCTTTAAAATTTTTTTTCAACGTTTTTTTATTTATTTTGGGGACAGAGAGAGACAGAGCATGAACAGGGGAGGGGCAGAGAGAGAGGGAGACACAGAATCGGAAACAGGCTCCAGGCTCCGAGCCATCAGCCCAGAGCCTGACGCGGGGCTCGAACTCACGGACCACGAGATCGTGACCTGGCTGAAGTCGGACGCTTAACCGACTGCGCCACCCAGGCGCCCCTAGAAGGCTCCCTTTAGAGCTCTCTCCCCTCCTAGTTCTCTCCTGCCCAAGACCGACTTGCCCCTAGGTTGCCCCAGCCCAGCCGTGAGCGCTCTTTGCCTCTGTGCCAAAGCGTCCTCCAAGCCCATTGCTGAGAAGCCGCTGGAGCTTTGCAGATTAATGAGAGCTGGGGAAGGGATGGGAGCAGAGGAAAACTTGCATTGGTTCACAAGGAAGATTCTGAAGAGGCCACGCGAAAGGTTTCTCTTAGTGGGCTCTTTTTTTAACGTTTATTCATTTATTTTGAGAGAGAGAGAGAGAGAGAGAGAGAGAATCTCAAGCAGGCTCCCCACTCAGCGTGGAGCCTGAGGCAGGGCTCGATCCCACGATCGTGAGATCGAGACCTGTGCTGAAATCAAGAGTCAGACGCTTCGCCAACTGAGGCACCCAGACGCCCCCCATCTTAGTTGGTTGCTGACACTCTAGGAAACCCATCCATGCAGACGTGAAGACCGTAGGTCCAACAGATTCAAGAGCATTCGAGGCCAGGCTATGCTCGCATTTTGTAATTGTGACCCGGATTGCATTTAATTACCACCACCACTCACTCTTAATCCAGTAGGCACTTTAACAATAATGTTCAAAAGACAGGCACCGGTTGGCTACCTCAGAATTACCAGCTTTCAGATGGTGAGTATACCTAGTGCGATGAGCACGGATTAATGTACAGGATTGTTGAATCAGTGTGTTGACAACCTGAAACTAATCTAGCTTTGCCAGTTATACTTCAATTAAAAAAAAAAACCACACACAGTTGTTAGCTTTAAAAAGTGTAGACTCCTGGGGGCGCCTGGGCGGCTCAGTCGGTTGAGCGTCCGACTTGGGCTCAGGTCACGATCTCGCGGTCCGTGAGTTCGAGCCCCGCGTCGGGCTCCGTGCTGACGGCTCGGAGCCTGGAGCCTGCTTCCGGTTCTGTGTCTCCCTCTCTCTCTACCCCTCCCCCGTTCATGCTCTGTCTCTCTCTGTCCCCAAAATAAATAAACTTTAAAAAATAAATAAAAAAAATAAAAAATGTAGATTCCTGAGCCACAAGAAACTCTGCTTTGCTGAGTCCGAGGTGAGGCCTGGGAATTAGTGTTTGCTGCCTTAAGTTCTCTCTAGGAGACTCTGAAATGCGGCCCGACTTAGGACCCGCCTCGCCGAGTCGCCCCTGACCCAAGACCTATTACCAGACTTCTTCAAGGCACGTGAAGCTGCCCATTACCTTTTTTTTTTTTTTAATTTTTTTTCAACGTTTTTTATTTATTTTTGGGACAGAGAGAGACAGAGCATGAACGGGGGAGGGGCAGAGAGAGAGGGAGACACAGAATCGGAAACAGGCTCCAGGCTCCGAGCCCCGCGTCAGGCTCTGGGCTGATGGCTCGGAGCCTGGAGC